ACTTGGGCCAGGTCCACACCATGGCTAAAAATCATGCAGTATCATGATAAGCTTTGTATGGTGGTATCAGTGGTGCTATTTTCAGCTCTTTAAAGACACAAGTCAACAAGACCTCGAATTTCTCTGCTGACTGAAGAACCACTTTGGAGCCATGGAACATGTTTCTTGGGGGCCTGAGCCAGTCTTGGCTTCTCAGAAGGCAGACCAGGGTGGAGATGGCTGGGGTTGGGCACAGGGTCTGCAAACCGTCTGTGATCGGGAACTGCCTGTAGCCTGACCACACCAGGTTGTCAGTGTTCTGCACGGTGCATTGTTGATTCTCCTGGAGAAGCTTATAGTCCTGGTTTTTCTCATATGAACTCAGCTGTTATCATTGGAGGAGCTCAGCTCCTCACTGTCACTGAGGATGGTTTTGGGGGAGCCCTGGTCCTTATCTTGAGTGTCACTTCCTGACTCCAGGACAGATCCCTCAGCCCGCTGGCACAGATCCTTCACCCTGCTGGTGCAGACTTTCTAGCTTCCACTGCTGACCTTTGGGCCTTCTCAGTGCAGATCCTTGATACAATCTTGCATGAGACATTGCCCTGAGCTCTGGGCCTCCAGTTGGATTCATGGAGGACATTGCCATGGGATCCAGGTCCTCAGTTGGATTCTTTGGGTCTCTAGTGCATGGACATTTCTCCTGCACTCCCCTGTATTTGACTTTTTGGGTGACTCTTACAAAATAATCCTATAAATTATGTGTCCTGTATTAACTCTTACAACTACAACTACAACACTTGGCTTTCTCCTGCCCTTGGCATGCGGGTCCTTGCTGGGTCAACCATTCCCTGTTAACAACACAGTACCAACTGCTTCCAGAAGTGTCTAGCCGACCTCTCTAAGCCCTTCTGGGTTATTCCCCATCTATGTTGAAATTCTGGAATTTCCTTTGGCTGAACTGGACACCAGATAGGGACTACTCACTTAAAGAAGCTGAAGGTGAGAAGGACTGAAGAATTAGATTCTGTCTGTCTTCCTCACTTTGGGTCTAATCCCTACTCCCTTCCCCCCAGAATAGCTGCCCATTCATTTGCAGCCATCAGTGGATATTTTTCTGGGTCTAATTTGGGTCAGAGGCTGCTCCAATGAAAAGGACAACTGATAGATCCAGGCCTCCCATGCTAGCTACTACCCAGGAAATCAGTGCTGGAATGAGCCTTGAAGATCACCCTTGTCCATGAAAAATTGAGCCCAGAAAGAAAAGGAACTTGTCCAATATTACATAGCTCTACAGGGACAGAATTCAAGCTTCCTGATGACAACTATGCTTTTTTCCAAATTATCCAACCAGTTCAGAATTTGCCTCGGATGGGACATAGCCCCAGTTTCTGTTACCCCTGATTTGCTGCATGGTCTCAGTTGGCCCCTAGGCTGGAGTCTCAGCCCTCTGAGCTTGGACTACAGAAGCCACACTTTCGCCCTGGGCAAAGCCCTCCCTTTGGACTGTCTGATTTTGTGGTCACTCGCAATGTGCTTATTCATTTCTTCCTTCTGTCTTCCTTGATATGTCCTCCTCCCTTCTGTCCATCCTAACCAGGAGCCTAGAAGGAATACAGAGCTATGAAAGCCTGAAGATGAGGCTGATATAGCCCATGGAAGACCTCTGTGAACTATGGGGTGAGTAGCCACTTGTTGAATGATTCCCCTTCCTCCTAACTACTTCTCCCTATTCTTTTGCCCCTCAAACATTTATTGAGCATCTATTGTGTGCTTATTGAAGCACTAGGTTACAGACACTACACTTTTGCACAAACATCACTCAATCCCTGAAGGCATTCTCAGTACTGTGAGAGAGGGAGAGAGAGTTAGAGAGCAATGTGACTGTTACCATTAGGGTAGCACAAGGGGAGAGCAGGGAACCTGGTTTTAACAACAGGTGCTCTTTGCAGGAACCTGGTAGCACTCCAACCCCTGGACAGAGGCTGAGAGCCTCTAGGCCTTCTTGCCTGGCTCCTTTACCCTGCTGAGGTCGTGCATTTTGCTGATAGTCATTTCTGAATTTCACACCCAAGGTGGGGCAGGGCGCTTGTCACCAGGCCTGTGGGATGGGCTTTTGGAAGAATTGGAGTCCTAAAAGAGGAATATGGGCAAAGCCTGGTTCACAGTCAGTGGAGCTCCACGGAGGGCCAGAACTGCTTGTGGAGTGAATGGAAGGTCCAGGCTGGAGCAGGGACACAAAGAAGGGCCTGCAGAAGAAGAGGAGCCCCAGAGCCACAGGAAGAAGACAGGACAGAGGTGGGACTGGCCAGGAGCCTGCCATGTACTTCATGCATCTCCTGGGGACAGGATGGAGATGTCTCTCCCCAGACTAGGCCTTCCTGCCCAGCATCAGGAAAATGACAGCCACATGACAGCCTGGAGGAAGGTGGCTTTCAAGGACAGGTTTTGGGGGTTTATGTCACTGGGGAAAAGGGATTCACAGGCTGTGGTGATGCTGCAGTGGGAGCAGGAGACTCTCCTGCTTGAGCCCAACCTGCCTCAGAGCTCAGGAAACCCTCCAGCGACAGCTAAGGAAGCCAGGCCACACCCAGAGCGTTGCCTGGGAAGCAGGAAAGGGAGATGGATGCTCAGCTAGCCAGAGACATGGTAGAGTTAGTGGCTGCTCTGAAACTATCCCGGAAGCACTCCAGTGGCTGCCAGTTGCAGGAGATGGGCAGAGAGGGCTGGTGTGCATGTGTGACCAGAGAAAAGAGAGACAGAGAGTCCAGGAAGTTTTCTGGAAAAACTTCCCAGCCCTGCTGGCCTTGAGAAGTAACCTGAGCCAGGAAAGCAGACTCTCATCCAGAGTCGGCTCAGGTAAGGGAGGGAGGCTGGGCAGGTGTGTGGGGTAACACTGACAGCTCTTTGCCTGCTGCTGAGGGAGCCCAGCCTCGGTAAGGCTGTGTTTCTCAGAGTACAGCGTTAGAGGGCTGGGCAAAGATGAGCAGCATAAGAGCAGATTTTTGACCTGCAGCTGGTGTGAGGCTATTTGGAACAGCTGGAGGATGGAATCCAGGTCTGGGGCGAAGGCCTGGTACCAGTCAGAACCTGGCACAGCTAGGGATTGATGGGATTGAAAAGCTGGGTGCTGGTGCTGAGAGTGAGGGTATCCATAGGGCTTGCAAGTTGCCCCAAGGGAGGGTTTGCAGAAGTCCCAGATAGCCAGGGTCAAAATCTGAGTGGGCACCTTGGCAGGGATTGGGAGCCTGAGGAGGGCAGAGGCATTGGTTTCCATGGAGGCAGAGACTGTGATGGGGAGGATTGAAAAAGCTTTCCACAGATGACCCTGAAGAACAGCTGAAGAGGAGACTGCACAAGGCAGGGCTGAGATCGAGGCCGTCTCCCCAGCAGGGCTCTGCTGTGTGAAAAGGTGTATGACATCGGTTGACACTCACACTAGTCCAAAACCTGCCCCCAAATCTGAACGTTGGAATCTGGACAGTCCAGCCTGGTTGAGGTTCCCTGCTGAGCTGATTCTTCTCCCAAAGGAGGACAGGGCATGGGCTCCATGTTTACTGGCTGGGGAGCAAACCCCCGCCTCTTCCTGTGCTATGCGGCTTTGGACACAGAGGAATTCCGCTTTCCTACCCTGCAATGCATTGGGACTGTAGATGCTATCAGGACATGTGAAAGGTGACACCAACAGACACTGGGCACTTAGGTGGCTCTATGGAGCTGGATGGAGGGAACAAGATAGGGGTGCTGTAGGCCCAGCATGCTAGAAAACTTTAAGAGATCCCATACAAGCTTTTCTCTGATTCAGTCACTCTTGGATGCATGGGACCATTCTACACCAAAATTTCCTGCTTAAATATGTATCTGAACTAGTACTCTCTGTTTTGTGGAGGGTGAGTGCTAACCAGAAGTGCCAAGCGGAACTCGCAGTCACTGCCAACCTGTCCAGCAATGCTGAGCAGATCCAGTATGTTGCCAGCACCCTGCAACAACGGAGCTGCTGCTGCACATCAAGCAAGCCAAAATGCCTGTTTATCACCAACGTCTTGATTAGCAACTTCCAATCATAAGCTTTAACAGATGAGAAGCACCCTTCAGACAATGCAGCAATTGTTTTCAGTTGGTTTTCTCTGACAGTAAACTTGTCATCCTAATCGTATTTTGCTTAAACTACTATTAAAGTGGATTTGCATTCTCAATGCACAAGCGGAAAGAGGAGGATCGAGGTGGGAGGCATGCGGCCCCAGCAATCACCTAGATGGGTAAAACTAAAAGGAACTGGCCAGTCCTCTAGATCATCCTAATGAAACGGCTTCATTCTAAGGCTTTGTTCTGAGATCACTAGCTCATTTGACAGATGTGATTAGAATCCCTCTATTTTACAGAGGTGTAAGTGGAGACGGTGCCCAAAGGGGCTTCGGGGTCTGCTTGGTGTCTTTGAACTCGCTGTAGCCAGTGGAGTGAGGCGAGGACCGCTAAAGAAGCCCCAGGTGGGAGACAGGTGTGACCCTACAGCTACCCACTCCCAAGTCTCTAAGGGCCAGGACAGTCAGAGGCACGGCAGCAGTTACAGGGGTGATGAAGGAAGGTGTTCAAACGCAGGGAAAAGTCATTTAGGTTGCAGAGAACTTGCAGGAAACGCTGTGGTCCTCAGATGGGCAAGCGGTGGAGGCCTGGAGTTTAAGGGGAAAGACAGGAAAAAGCTTCGTTTTCCTCTAACTCGCAAGCCCCCTCTTGGCGCGCTAGGCTGCCTCTGAGCTTTCTCCGCCTCCTGAAGGAAAGGACACCCCGCAAGAGGCCAGCGAGGTTCCATGCCTGGCCGGGTAAAGAGGAACGAAGCTGGTACCTGGTGCACAGCCCAGACCCGCTGGCGACTGCCGAGGGCGGGCGTTGACGCAAGGAGGGCTGTGCCTTTGGGGGCGGGACTGGGTGGGAAAGGGGCGTGGTCTCCCAACGTCCAATCGCCTTCTTTCTCCGCCCCTTCCCACCAACAGAGCGCCGCGGTGGGCGGTCCTTGTTACGGCAGCCGTTCCTGCTTGCGATTTTTCCCGACCCCTCCTTTTTCCTCTCTCCTTTTCTCTTTTTTTTCCTTTCCCTTTTTGTGAATGAAAAAAGGAGGTCGCGAGCGGTGCTCGGGACTGCAGCGCTAGGCAAGCGTCTGCAGGCAGCGCCGGCGCCGCGGGCCTGGCCCGGCTGCTCCCAACTCCCGCGCGCCCGCAGCCTCCGCGCAGAGCCCGGCCCGGCCCAGCCCGGCCCAGCAGTCCGAGGTCGGGGCGGCCGCGCACAGCCCGGCCTGCGCCCCGCGCCTCCATGACATTGGGCGCCCGGGGCGCGGGGAGATGCTAATCCGGAAGAGGCAGTGTCTGCAGTGCAGCGCGTGCGGCCGCTCGCGGCCCGCGGTCCGGCCTGGGCTGCTCTGTCAGAGTTTCTGATCCATCGTGAGCCGGGCCCGGACCTGGAGCGCCCAACGGCGCGGCGAGAGAAGCCGGCGTCGTCCTAACTTGCCCGCGTGGAGTGACCCCAGACATCTCACTAAAATGAGCGTGCTTAGCAGGAAGAGATGTGTTCCGTACACTAGCAATTACCCCGTCACATGTAGTGGTGTAAGTAAATGATCGATTTCTATTTTGTCGAGCAACCTGTGCAAACGCGCCGCCTCGCCCTCTCGCTGCCCCTCCTGAGTGCGCCCTCCCGGCCCTGCCCGTTCCCCTTGTCTTCCTCCAGGCTCTGGCTTCGCTGCTCGAGTCCGAGGGGGCGAAGGGCTAACCTTCCCCGCGTGCTGTGTTTCCAGGGAAAGGGAGTTGCCTTGATTGCCTTGGCGTGTTGTACCCCTCCCCCTTTCCTTTTTTTCCCCCCCTTTTTACATTGTGTGCAGAACAGCGTGTTGGGGAGCTAAAAAAGAGGTTCAGGTTGCAAATGTTTCTGTTTTAGAAAATGCTGGTGGAATTTGGGCACTTAGCTTGGGATTGTGAAAATGCCTCTCGGAGCTCAACTCCATTGCAGTGTGTGCAACTGAGTTCTGATAAACGACTGGTGGAAACTGCTATCGTTGTTAGTAAAAATTTCGACATCTCAGGCTTGAAGAGGTTAGTCCTGTGCTTAGGCTTGCAGTTTTACTAATATGACCATTCAAGATCCCTTTGGGCCTCACTGTTCATTGGATCTAAGCGATGATCCATCTTTCCGCCTTCTCCAATATTACAAATGTCAGCGACCCCAGTGGGAGCTCCTTTAATTCCAAATCCACCTTCTGCTTGTCTCTTCCAATTTTCCCTTCCTATCCATCTTCTAGATTTTTACCTTCATTTTCAAGATTTTCCTCTTTTTTACGTTTTTTGTAAGATGCAGGATGTGGGATTTGGTTGCTAGGAGACAAACCAGGCTCCCAGGGAGATTCTGTCGTTACCTTGACAACCAGACTAGGGCAGCCACAGATGAACAAGCCTCCTATCAGCTGTGGGAGGGAAAGGGGGCCTCTTCTGAGCTCTGCAGAGAGTGTGTGTAGGGGTGTGGGGGGAGGAATGAGAGCCGGTGCTGCTTGTAGCTAATCTGAGTACACCTGCAGGTCTGGCCTGGGCTGGGCAAAGAGCTGGGAAAGCAGCTGGGGCAGGAAGCTGCTGTGGCAGAAGGCCACAGTGGTCATGCTGCAAGGGTCAGGGAGCACGTGCCTATGACTCTGGGGTTATCTGGGAGAGGAGTGGATTGGGAGTTGTGAATTTCAGGGTAGGATGGCAGGGGAATATTAGTTTCTGGAGGGTAGTTGGGAGGCTTTGCAGGAATAGAGATGAGGCCATGGGGAGGAAAAGTCTAGAGTCATTGAAGGAGAGGCTGCCAGAGGGAAAGGGAAGTCGAAACACTCACTGAGTGGGTTGTATCATCTTGTATCAGCAGTGGTCCAGTAAAGTAGCAATATCTAGATCAGAAATTATATTACTTGTTGGCACACCAGCTCCAGGACAAGAATCTCATTTAAGATGGGCCTGATTAGACTAAGAGTTCTGCGGGCTTAATTGGGCCAGTCTGTGTCTTAAAGGGAGATATCATTACACATATAGATATATAATTTAGCATTATATAATACTGCATTACATAAGAAGACAAATACCTCCTTCCACTCAGGCTCTCTTGGCACAAGTTAACGACAATCCATGAGACTTTCTCCAGTGCTCTCATACCCATTTTCCAGAGAGAAAGACTGATGCCCACCAAAGTGTAGCGATTTGCCTTTTCCATGGTGGGATGATGAAGTTTGCCAGTCAGGCAGTTGGGACAGGGGTGGAATGGGAGAAGATGATGCATATAAGGAGATGGTTGAAGGACACACTGGAGAAAGTCAGAAGGGCAACTGGAGCAACACATGGGGAGGGGTCGTTAAGCTTAGTAGCCATCCAGCAGTCTGGTGTCTAAACCCATGGCCCAGTGTGTGTCATTCTCCTACTTGTTGGTTGACTGTCCTCTTCTTTTTTTTTTTTTTTTTTGTCTTTTTTCGTTTTTACCAGTACCGGGGATCAAACTCACGACCGCCTGCTTGCAAGGCAGGCGCTTATGCCGCTGAGCTAAATCCCCAGCCCCCAACTGTCCTCTTCTTAACCCTATGACATAACATAAGGTGTGTGGGAGTGTGTTAATTGCAAAGTAGCTGAACTCAGAGCAGCGTGCTCTGCTGGTGTCCTGATATCATCCCTGCTACTAGGATGCTACTGGATTGAAGAACCGAGGCCCCAACTCCCTCTTTTCTCCCCCTACTCCCTTCTGTCTCCAGAGCTACATGCTGCTGGAACCTGAACTCCAGAAAGAAGTTCTGTGGGCCAGGTGGTTTGAATTTCTATCTTGCAGCTGCACATACTTTGCAGTTGGGATTCCATCTGTGTTTGTTATTTATCCAAGAGACAGAAACCACACCCACATGCCTCCTCCCAGTGATTCTCAAACATCCCCCAGGGACAATCAAAGTGGGCTTCCTGGTCCTCAGCTCAGGGGAGAGAAGAGGGAGGAGGAAGCCAGTGGTTAGGAGTGCAGTGGCCTATGATACAGACAGGAGGTAGCTGCCTGGAGACCCTTGTTTAAGGGTCCAGATGCTGTGGAGAAGGAGGAGGAAGAGGAGGAAGAGGTCATCTCATTGAAAAGTCTTTGCTGCCCTTTTTGCTTAGATTGCTGAGCTGCATCCACCGGGGCAAATCCCAGTTGCCATCGTTACTTGAGTATTTCGGTTCTGCATTCCTGCATGTTGGCATCCAGTTACAGCCCGCAGGAATGGAGCAAATCTGCTGCTGCTGCTGGTGGCCTGGCTCTGGAGCTGATGCCTCCGCTTCGAGGTCTAGCCTTCAGGACTAGGCTAGCCTCCAGGACTCCCCTGAGAGCAGCCTTCCTTGACTGAGGCAGGATTCCTCTGGGTCGTTCTAGCCCCCAGACAACTTCTCCCAAACACAGGGAATGTGAGCGGTGGCTGGCCAGTGATCCTGCAGAAACCAGTTCCCTTTAGTGTTTCCTAGGTCCTTCCACGAGGGCAGATTCTCACTGAGAGACTACCAGCCTAAGCCCCCTCCAGCCTCCTGGTAACAGCTTTTTAAACACTGATGTGACATTTTGACTGTAGAAGAGGCCCTCTGTTTGTTCATTTGAGCCATCCCCTTGATGGGGCTGGACAAGCTACTTCCTTTCTGCCCAACACGAAAGGAAACTGAGGCAAGTATCTGCCCAGAAATTCAGGCAGAGGCCCTGGGGATTTAGCTCAGCGACATAAGCACCTGCCTTGCAAGCAGGCGGTCCTGAGTTCGATCCCCGGTACCGATAAAAAGTTAAAAAAAAAAAGAAATTCAGGCAGAAGTGTGATGCTCTGCTTCTAGCAAGCCCGCACTCCATGGGGACAACAGTGAGCTTCTCCTAGGAGTGCCTGCCGCTGGGTCCTCCTAGGGATGGGAATTACAAGGGGGACAGATCTCGATTTCTTTCTCAGGGGGCTAGATGCAGGATGCTAAGGAGGGGCAGCCCAGGTAGGGGACAGAAGGCCTGATCAGTTGGCACAATCAGATCACTTGAGATGGGGAGTGGTTACCCTACCCCCATCTCAAGCTGGCCCATAGCTGCATAAGACACATGGGCAACGTGACAGGCCCAGCGTAGAAGAGGGAGGCCTGCAGGCTGGGCAGGGCCATCCAGAAGCCTCTCTAGCCCACAGAGGTTGGCAGGAAATCTCTCCCATCTCCATAAACAGGGCTGGGCTTGGAGGATGGATGAGCAGCCTAGGGCATGGAAATGCACCACCAGGGAGGGCCAAGGCAAGGCGGGGAGGCCAGGAGAGCTGCTGCTCAGCCTTGACAAGTCCATTAAATTTTAAAGTGGGCCTGCCCTGGGGCATGCTGGGAAGGGGTGGGGACCTGGCCTCTACTCTGCTTCTCTCAGCTGTTTGTTCTGCTGCTGTCACAGCCCTGGGAGGAGGAGGAGGAGAGCAGAAGATGAGTGAGCGCCCAGGCACATGCTCCTCTTTCTGGGGCAGCTGGGACAGGACAGATGCTGGGCAGGCTTTGCCTTGGGATCTCTCTCACCAGCCTCCTCCATTCTGAAGTCCCGCAGGAGAACAGTGGGTACCAGAGGGAGACAAGTGGCCCACCTGGTGGCTTTGCCACTCTCAGCCTGAATGGATTGTTTCCTAAGGACCCTGCAGAGCCACTGTCCTGCAAGTTACCCACCCTTCACTGCTTCAGTGCCAGTGCTCGAAAAGGGGCCAGCCCCAGCTGCCAAGAGCTGCCCGCCCTGATCTTGGACTTGGGGGGCTGGCATGCCAAGCTGTGCTGACTGCACCCCTCCTGCCCCACAGGTCCCAATTAATGGATTCTGACATGGATTATGAAAGGCCAAACGTAGAGACCATCAAGTGCGTGGTGGTGGGTGACAATGCTGTGGGCAAGACTAGGCTCATCTGTGCCCGGGCCTGCAATGCCACCCTCACCCAGTACCAGCTGCTCGCTACCCATGTGCCCACAGTGTGGGCTATCGACCAGTATCGTGTCTGCCAAGAGGTAAGGCTGCAAGACCACTCAGCCAAGGGCACACCATGCCTTTGAGGTCTCTTCCTAAGTCGGGGCATGATGTCTCCCAAGCTCATGGGGTCACTCAGGGGAGGGGCAGGGGTAGCTGAAGCATAAGGAGCTCCTGGACACAGGTTGAGGGGAGCCCATGGCTGAGGCGCAGTGTTTGACCATTTGTGTTTTAAACACCTGGGCCGGTGCCTATTAGCCCCCAGATTTGGCTGGGTACCGCATCTTGTGCAATCACCTCTCTAAGTAATGGGGAGTCCTCTGGGCTGCAGCTTGGGAAAGGTTTTCCATTGCCAAAAGATCACATCAATACTCAATTGCAAGGAACGCTGGAAACACAGGATCCTGACCGCACCCCAATAGTCTGCTCTCTCGGGTCTCTCCTCATTCTGCTGGGCTTTGAGGACCACCTTGTTACTGATTCTCCAGACACTTCACGTGGATGTGTGTTGTGCAAACCACATAGTGGGAGATGCCACTTTGTCCTTCACCATCCCCCATGCTGTTGTGGGACCTCGGGGTTGAGCTGGCACCTGACCCAAGAGCTGCCATCCTTGTCTCCGTCCCCACTCAGGTGCTGGAACGCTCCCGAGACGTGGTAGATGATGTCAGCGTCTCTCTGCGCCTCTGGGACACCTTTGGAGACCACCACAAAGATCGTCGCTTTGCATACGGGAGGTAGGGGAGACTGGGCCACGTGGGCGGGGTTTTCTTGTTTTCCCAAGGGACCTAGCACCTCTGTGCACCCGAAACCCAGGGAAGAGTGGAGGAAAACAGTATAGCAGATGCCTTTGGGGCAGGGCAGGATCAGGGAGCCTGGGCTAGGGTCCAGAGGCCTGCTTTGAGTTCTGACTCTGCCATATACTAGCTTTGAGTGACTTTGAGATAATTGAAATGGTAATTTTGAACTAGCATGAGAACCATAAGGTCACACGAGTCTTTGAGCTCTAAAATGTTACATAAATTATAGAAGTACTATTGTTATACATTGTGTGGGAAATGGGGGAGCAGGTTAATAAGCCAGGTTTGGGCCTACAGTGTAGGGGCAGGGGAGGGCATGCATGTCCCCTCATTCCAGGGACAGGTCACTCTCTACTATCTTTCTCTGCCCATATCTTCTCTCTTTCACCCCCAGATCGGATGTGGTGGTTCTGTGCTTCTCCATTGCCAACCCCAATTCCCTTCATCATGTCAAGACCATGTGGTACCCAGAAATCAAGCACTTCTGTCCCCGAGCACCTGTCATCCTGGTGGGCTGCCAGCTGGACCTGCGCTATGCTGACCTGGAGGCTGTCAATAGGGCCAGGCGGCCCTTGGCAAGGTAGGGCTACTGGGGGCTAGGGAGCAGGGTGGGCACTGAGGAGGGCACATCACCATAGCTACCTGCTCCCCGATGAGGGAATCTCCCTGAGGCTTACATTTCTCCCTCTACTTACTGCGAGCTTACATCAAGGCCTACAAGCATGCCCGTTCACCCATCCATTCACCCATCTGTCTATCGCACACCTATGGGGTGAATAGTACTGTGCCTAGGCACTGTGTGGAAAGACAAGGGGCAGGTGGGATTTACATCAGGAGGTCTTACGATGTTTTTACACATACACAGCTGACTTTCTTAATCCAGAGGTTTAGCCTTTGTGGATTCAACCAACCGTGAATGGAAAATATTTTTTAAAAACTAAATCTGTACTGAACATGTATAGACTTTTTTCCTTGTTGCTATTTCCTAAACAAAGCATCATAATAACTTTATGTAGCATCTACATCATATTAAGTATTTTAAGTACCCAGAGATGATTTCAAGTCTAGGGAAGGATGTGTCCGGGTCATGTATATATACTGTGACATTGTAAACCTGACACTTAAGGTTCTGAGGGTTTTAGTATCTGGATGGCATCCTGGAATCAGTCCCACTAGAATACTGATAGCTGTGTATGAGCAGATTTACATCAGTGTGAGCCCATGTGTGCTAATTGCAGAGAAGGAGGTGACTGCATCTCTGTTTTGAACTGGGGCGTGTAGGGGGTCCCTGGGGAGTGACTTGGATCATAAAGTAGGGAAGGCTTCCTGGAAGATGAAGGGTTTGGAGGTGGACCTGAGGGACCTTACAGGGACCTGGCCAGAGGAGAAAGAGCAAGGTGGAAAAGGGCCAGTGGTGCAAACCATGAACAGCATTGCCCCAGCCTGGGGAAGGCTGGGCAGGCTCCCTCCACCATCAACAGAAGCTGGCTTTCCCTCCTTGAACTCTCCAGGCCCATCAAGCCCAATGAGATCCTTCCTCCGGAAAAGGGTCGGGAGGTGGCCAAGGAGCTGGGCATCCCCTACTACGAGACCAGCGTGGTGGCCCAGTTCGGCATAAAGGACGTCTTTGACAATGCCATCCGGGCTGCACTCATCTCGCGGCGCCACCTGCAGTTCTGGAAGTCCCACCTCCGCAACGTGCAGCGGCCTCTACTCCAGGCACCCTTCCTGCCCCCCAAGCCACCGCCCCCCATTATCATGGTGCCCGACCCCCCCTCCAGCAGTGAGGAGTGCCCCGCCCACCTCCTAGAGGACCCACTCTGCGCGGATGTCATCCTGGTGCTGCAGGAGCGGGTGCGTATCTTTGCCCACAAGATCTACCTCTCCACCTCCTCCTCCAAGTTCTACGACCTGTTCCTCATGGACCTGAGTGAGGGGGAGCTGGGAGGCCCCTCGGGGCCAGGGGGGCCCCACCCAGAGGATCACCGGGGCCACCCCGATCAACACCACCACCATCACCACCACCACCACGGGCGGGACTTTCTGCTCCGGGCAGCCAGCTTTGACGTTTGTGAGAGTGTGGATGAGGCTGGAGGCTCCGGTCCTGCTGGCCTCCGAGCCTCAACTAGTGACGGGATCTTGCGGGGCAGTGGAACAGGGTACCTGCCAGGCAGGGGTCGAGTGCTGTCTTCCTGGAGCCGAGCATTTGTCAGCATCCAGGAAGAGATGGCAGAGGATCCTCTGACCTACAAATCCCGGCTGATGGTGGTGGTGAAGATGGACAACTCCATCCAGCCGGGGCCCTTCCGGGCTGTTCTTAAGTACCTGTACACAGGGGAGCTGGGTGAGAATGAGCGGGACCTCATGCACATCGCCCATATTGCCGAGCTGCTGGAGGTCTTCGATCTGCGCATGATGGTGGCCAACATTCTCAACAACGAGGCCTTTATGAACCAGGAAATCACCAAGGCCTTCCATGTCCGCCGCACCAACCGGGTTAAGGAGTGTTTGGCCAAAGGCACCTTCTCAGGTATGGGATGTGCTTAGAAGATCAGGGATGATCTCCAGGTAGCTTTCTCAAGGGCGTGGGCTGCTCCATTACCTTCCAAGTGAGTTTTAACTCTGATGTCCTGGCACTAGGGCTATTAGCTACTGCAGACAAGAGCTTGGTCATTCATGCTCTGCAGCCTGTGGTCTCAGAAGGAAGCTGGGAAGTCAGGGCTCCATGTCACCCTTGGGATTGATCCTCCTCATGCTCACAGATGCTCACATGATGCCACTTCTCCTCCCACACAGATGTGACCTTCATCCTGGATGATGGCACCATCAGCGCCCACAAGCCCTTGTTGATTTCCAGCTGTGACTGGATGGCTGCCATGTTTGGGGGGCCGTTTGTGGAGAGTTCCACCAGGGAGGTGAGGCAGAGCATGGGAAGGGTCAGGGGAGAGGGACAGAGTGATGGGTCCAAGAGGGATGTAGGCCAGCATATGGAGAAGCCCGTCACTGAAAACGTTTCTGATACAGATCCCAAGGAAGGGAGTGTGTGCACCCTGGGGGTCAGGAAGTGCCAGTCAGGAGCTGGAGAAGGAACAGAGCAGGCCTGGCAAGCAGCTTAGGATTGGACCATTTCAGTGGGCTCTGGGGCATGGGATGTCCCTAGTTGTCTGGTGCCTGGCTCTGGGGTGATTAGGCCACAGGAACAGAGGGAGTTTGAGAAGCGGATGCTCGGAATATAAAAGGGCATGCCGAGTACAATCACTGTGCCCTGGAGCACCTGCCAGCTCACCTTTTTCTCTTCCCTATGCTGCCATTTCCTCAGAGCCCTACACTAGAAGCTCAGAGTGTGCTTAGGACTGTTCTTTCTTTTCCATCCTCCCAACCAATCAGAGTAGCTGGCGCTACAGCCCTTGGTGTCCTCCATCATCTCTGGACCCCAGAGCGTTAATTGCCCGCCACTATGCCTTGTAGTTAAGATTCCTCTATACTCAGATGAGGGAAGTTCTGAGTGTTTCCTTAAAGATTTTCCCACTGGTCTGTGATTGCTTTTGAGCGCAGGGACTAGGTCTTTGGCTTCTGCCAAGTACCTCTCTGTTAGTGAAGGATCAGCCAATACTTGAATGAAAAGCCGAGCAGAGAGCAATGCAGTATCATTTCCTGCTGTCCAGAGGATGACCTTCCTAAGACTGCTGGGAAGCAAGTCCTTAGGGAAGGCTATGTGGAAGGCTGTGTGATATGGGTGGTCTCTGACAAGGGAGTAGGAATTGTGAATTTACAAAGGGTGGAACCAGGATTCACTGCAGCCCCAGGAGCATGCCAGCCCTGGGCACTTCTTGGTACCAGCAACACCAGCTTTAAAGCACTGGCCAACTCCCAGCATGCCCAGAGAGACTCACATCTGATGAGAAAGCAGTTTTGGTTGCAGTACAGCTTCAGAGAGATCCCAGAGGCCCAGAGCAGCAGCTTGGAGCAGCCGAAGAGAAGCTAGCTGGCGTTCCCTTTGCTGCTTCTGGATCCCACTGGACAGCTCCCTGCAGACTTGGGGTGGTGGTTGTGGCGAGGTGGGGGAGGGGTTATTAAGTGATGTAAATGGTTCTGTAAAGCACCGGGAAGCCAGAGCAGCTTGAAGATACCACAAAGGATCCAGGTCTTTTTGAAAGATTATCAGTGCCTTGTTCTTGGATGCTGTCCACAAACTGAGGCTCAGCACCAGTCAGCACTTTGGGGGCTGAGCCTTTGAGAGGGATAGGGGCCCCTGAGCAGGAACAAGCCCAGCACAGATCTCGGACCTGAGTTACCCTTTCCTGCTTCTCCTGGTCCAGGTGGTGTTTCCTTACACGAGCAAGAGCTGCATGAGGGCGGTGCTGGAGTACCTGTACACGGGCATGTTCACCTCCAGCCCCGACCTGGACGACATGAAGCTCATTATCCTGGCCAACCGCCTCTGCCTGCCACACTTGGTTGCCCTCACAGGTAATGCGCTCGGCGAGCTCCCATGGCACGACCAGGGAGAGCCTGCCAGGGTACAGTGACTGTTTGTTGCCTGTTCCCTCTCTACTGGGAGCAGGCAGCACCCAAAGGGTGAATTGCTCCTAGAATGAAGTCTGCTGATGCGTAGTTTTCTGGGTGAGGATGTATACAAGGAGTGTGTTCAATGGGTGCCCCTGAAAGATCCCCACAGGTCGTCTCGGCCCACAAACTGGTCCCAGTATGCAGGCACATTGCGTTCTTAGCTTGGCTTTACTCAGGCAGGCGCACAACATTAACGAAGACTAGATCACCATCCCATGTTTCTACCCTGTGAGTCTTCGTCTTATCTGCTTCATCCTTCCCTTCCTTTCTCTTCTTGCTTCTCTCCCTTTGGCTGCACCTTCTCTTTCTTCTTCCGGAAACAGAAAATGAACGTTGACCCACTCCTTACTCTGTGGAAGCGCTGTGAGCTGGAGCTCTGGGATGCCTCCAGGGTGGGGAAAGACCAGGGCACCAGGGCCATCCGGCCTGGGTCCAAGGGTCTAGGAGGAGAAACGTGTTCCTAGGGTGAAGGAAATCAGGCTGGAGACCCAGGCAGCCAGGGGACTACTGCTGATGTTTGTGTTGTTGGTATCGCCACTGGTGCTGGTGTTGAGGTCTCTGGCCAGGCTTGGGGGAGGCAGAGAGGAGTTGGGGGTCAAGCAAGGACCCAATATCAGGACTACTGGAGCTCTGGACAGAGGACCAAGTCTGGCATGAAGACACGAGGGGAAACAGCAATCCCCTAATGACAAAGGAATCATAAGGCAGAGCATGGTCAAAGGAAGAAGGCAGAAATCATTGATCAGAACCAAAATATTAAGAGATGAGCCTACAGTGGGAGTTAGGGACCCCAGCTGGGGGCAAAAGGGACTTTAGGGCGGGAGTAAGAAAAGCATCTCAGGATTGTAGCTCTGACAGTTTTGCTGAGGAAAAATAGTGTGGTTTTCCCAGAGCACTTAAAGCTTTAAATCCTTAAGTGGAATCATTTTACTTGTAAAAGACTATCAAAAAAATGATCCCAAGGAAAAATAAAGTATACAGAGGTATTTCCCTAAACATGCATCTCATCAGGACAGGCAGTTGGAAGCAAGTCCAAGAAATACCCTTGGTTAAGCCCTCTTAGGTAATTTCACATGGCAGCCATTTTAGTAATGCTGGGGTTGGAGGTGCAGCTCAGCAGAAGGGCTCCTGCCTAGCGTCTGCGAGGCCCTGGGTTCCATCCCAGGTATTCTGAAAGTTCATTCATTCATTCATCAATTTAAAAAGAGAAAGGAAGTCATGCTACATAAGTGTTCTCTGGAAATGGTCAGTGTATACAAAAAGGCCTGCACTGCCCTGTGAAGGGTCTTGGGGACGCTGGGTGTTTCTCATAACTGGTGAAGTTAGTCTTTGTGAATCCACTGCCCATGGAGTTACTCATTCAGACTTAAAACTTGTTTGTCGTTAAATATAAATACAAATATAAAGACGAATACATAAGACTACATGAAACACAGTCAGCTTGGTGGATTATTATAAAGCAAAACATTTTTCCAGTCCTGATGCATACCAGGACCGGAAGCTAGCTGGCCGCACCGGAAGTCTCCACTACCGTTACCACACTAGAGCCCTCTCTCCCTCCCGGCGGTACCCACACTGCAAAGTCCTCTTTGCATGGGGCACTTCGTGCCAGCTCATTGTCTCACCCTCCCCTCTTGCTTTGTCATCTAGTCCTGCAACCTGAAACACTCACAGAATGATTTGGCTTTTTATATACCTTTTAGGTTTCTTTGACTCTATGGCTACCTTGTCCAATTTAAAAAAATGTTTTCTTCCTGAAATTTATTTGTTCAAACAAAAACCAAACACTGGTCTTTTCCTCCAGTAGTTTTCCATGATCTAGATTTTCTCAGATTGCAATTTTATAGTGTAGTTGAATATAGTAAACTGACAATTGGCTCTAGAGGCTGGATTAGGTCCACATTTTTGGTTTGTTTGTTTGTTGACAGCATCTTGCTATGTAGTCCAGACTGGCCCTGAACGCCAAGCAATCCCCCTAACTCGGGCTCTCAAGTGCTGGGATTACAGGCATTTGTCACCTTGCCTTACAGTTTTTTGTAAGACTGTTTCATAGGTTGTCTCTTTATCAAAGGGTGTGGATTGTCCAGTTTTCTTTTTTGAGGAATTAGTAGACATCAAGTGTCATTGTCTGGATCTATCAACTTATTAATTAAGGTGTCACAAAATGGTAGTGTTCCAGCTGAGCCACTGTTTCTTTGTGAATCTGTTGGAAGACTTCTAAAAAGCAAGAAGCTTCTTCTCGCCTTTTGTTTTGTTACACAGCGGTACAGGTCATGTAGGAAAGGCAGGTGGAGGCTTGATTCTTTTCCCCCTTTACTTACCAATATTTGATATATTTTTGTTTCCTATCATTTTCAGAAGTGACCAAATATCTTTTTCTTTTTGTCTTTGTTTTTGAGATGAGATCTCACTGTAAAGTTCAGGCTAGCCTTGGACTCCCAACAATCCTCCTGCCTCAGCCTTCTCAGTGCTGGGTTCACAGGTGTCACGCCCAGCTTGGGTTTGTATTTTAATAGTATTATTTTGAACACTTAGATTTAAAGATACTTGCTTGGTTTCAGTTAAGTAGTTATCTTTCCTGAAGTTCAAACGTTGTACCTTTAGGTGGTAGCAGTCTTTGCGCTGGCCCCAGTCTTCGGGCTCCCTGGCTATCTGCAAGGATGAGATGGTCCAGGTTCCTCTTGTATGTTTCATGCTTTAAGAGGTGCCTGTCTAACCTTTCGGTTTGCCTGGGCTAAACTGAGACATTATCTTGGGCCACATATAAAATATATGATAGAGTTAATGTATGTAAGCAACAAACTTCCCTTCTTTTCTCCTTTATTATAACCTTTGAAAAAGTGTAACTCCTGCATTTGTCTCCAAATTGCTTGAGCACTGCTAACATCTGACACACTGGGTTTCAGTGCCACCGCACCACGCCCTGCCCTCCCCAGCCTTCTCCTGTTACCTGCACAGCCCATGTCGGACCAGCATGCACTGGAGTCATAAAAGTATTACAGGAAAATCACCAAATATCACTAAGGTTTATCATTGTGCAGGACTGCATGACTCGCTGTTCAGGGCCATTCTCGGCCCGCAAATTCCAAAGGTCAGCACAGCTGCTCCCAGCCGTGGCATCAGCTGTTTCTCTGAGAGCTCCTGGCTCCTCATAGCTGGAAGTGGACATGGGATCTCTGTATACCAGGAGTGCGCATTGCTACCAGGATGGTTATTGCTTCTGGATCTTTTCTGTGGACAGAGTTGGGAAATCTGTCTCCAAAGATAAAATTCCTCATGAGTTTATAGCACTGATGCTTCTAATCAAAATTCGTGACCAAGGTGTTTTCTTCCTCATGACCATTAATGTAAAAGGCAAGTCTGTTGCAAAGTTTAAATGAATGCAGCAGGATGTACCTGGCAGCCCTAACTCACAGTTCTCAGCTTTTTGTTTTATCTTCAGTGAGCATGAGCTTCATACCCTCTGTGTCCATGGCTTATTCTCTTGGGGCTTCTGACCTTGTATATAGTGGACTGTGATGGAAAATCCTCTTAGTAAGGACAGCATCCTCCTTCATGCCCACTAAGGTCCTGCTCATCCGCCCTGGCCCTGTCCCTCACATTGGAGCACACCCAAGTCCCCTGTGGTCTATCTTGGCTTCTCGGGACTTGTCCCTGCCCTGTCTCTTTCTACCCTGCAGGGAGCCCCTGCTGTGTGTTGTAAGTAGCACAGGTATACATGGTTCTTCCACTGATTGCTGGCTGTGTGTGTCACAGAACAGTACACGGTGACGGGGCTGATGGAAGCAACCCAGATGATGGTGGACATTGATGGAGACGTCCTCGTGTTCTTGGAGCTGGCTCAGGTATCAGGCGGGGAAGGAATCCACAGCCCTCGTCTGCCTCCAGGCTCCCTCCTCCTGCCTGCTGGCAGTGTGCAGAGTGGCTGGGAGGTGGTAGGCAGGAGAGCATCTGTCAGGCTCAGCCCCCTGACTTGGAGAGCTCATCTCACAGTGCAGAAATTGAGCCCCTGAAGGTTAATGTATTACATGAGAGCACGGCCGGAGACACTCCTGGGAGAGTCAGCTCCCTAAGCCTAGTTACCTGCATCTTCCTGCTGGGAAGGAGAAGGAAGTCGTGGGGCAAGAGCTAAGGAGGGCAGGTGCGGTAGGATGGCACCCTTTGGGCCACAGATATCATTTGTATGACCTCCTGGGCAGGGCTGAAGTGGAGTGACGGGGCTTGGTGGCAGTGCCGAGGAGCCCAAGTCCAGCATGGTCATTCTCAGTCGTAGGTGGGCTTGGCCATGCGACTGCAGGGTGCTGCTCACGCTGTACCAGCGCTGCAGCTCTGAGGGTGACAGCATCTACACAGTCCCCCTGCGCCTGGGGTCTCAGGATAGATGCGCTTCTGTTCTGTCCCCAGTTCCATTGTGCATACCAGTTGGCTGACTGGTGTCTCCATCACATCTGCACCAACTACAACAACGTGTGCCGCAAGTTCCCCCGAGACATGAAGGCCATGTCCCCAGGTGAGGCCACGTCCCCCCACACCAGCCTCAGCAGCACCCGTGGCTCCTGCCTTGGGTACAAGGGGCCTCTGCTTGGATCCACAGCTGGGGCTTTGAACCCCAGGGACCACTGATCCTGGGGTCTCACTTGGCCTTTCAAGGGTGGAGGCCCATGTGGGGTACCCCAGGAAAAGTGCTGTCTGTAGGGCTGGGAGGCTGGGGACCTTGGATGGCTCATGACACCTTTCCAGGCTTGTTTCTCAAAGGGCACTGATGAGAGGTGGTAGTTTCCAGACCCCCCTGGGTAGGGCACCACAGTAAGAAACACACTTGATACTGCCATCCAGTACACGGATAGAAAAGTGCATGCAGCCTTTAAAATGCTGTTTGTGACTCAGTAAATTGGCTTCCCTCAGCAGCAGGCACTCTCTGCAGTCACCTGCAATTCTGTCTCTGCTAAATTCATTTCTCAGGTCCTGGAGCCCGGCAGGAGCTGCCTGGGCTTCCGGGGGAGGTGTCGCTGGTCTCCCTGATGGGTCTGCCACTCGGTGTCCTCACAGGGCTCCCTCCCCTGCTCCCATCTCTCCCAGTTGCAGGGTGGTTCCACACCTTCCCAGTTCTCCAGGCCTGGTGCTCAACTTTGCGTGTGTCCCAACCCTTCTAGCACATTCTTCCTGAAGCCCAGGGCCAATCGAATTGCTCCCTGGCTTCACACCTCCTTCGCTATCTCTGACCTGGGTGCTGCTGGGGTGCTGCTCCTCGATTCCCTCAGCACCCGGCTGTGGCCAGCAGGAGCTTAGGCTCATCCCTAGCGATGTGGAATTCCTTCCCCTTCTCCCCCGCTCCTGGTTCAGCTCTTTTATTCCCAGCAGAGGGTCCCTGACTTCCTTTTTGTTTTGTTAGAGACAGGGCCTCGCTATGTAATTTAGATTGATGTTGAACTCACTGCAGAGCTCAGGCTGCTGCGATCCTCCTGCCTCAGCCTCCCAGGCTCCACCTGACTTACATTTTTTGAGTGACCATGGTGCAATTATATAGTCTGTAGAAAGTCTGCTTGCAATTTTGAATAGGATCACACTGACAGACCTCTCCAGTGAGGATTAGAGTTGGCTCCATGTAGAAACACCTGTAAGCGCAGTTTCCTGGGCTGTTCCAAGGTCCTGTCCTCTCTGGGTGATGACACTGGGCACTGGTGGCCCTGTATCTGAGGAGGACACTGCAGTGTGCTGTGCTGCTATGGGAGGGAGCTGAGTGGGCGGGGTGGAGTCTGCATTTTCCCCCCGTGATATTTTCCCTTTAGGCTGCCCTAAAGGGGAGGGGGGAGGTCGTAGGTCAGGGAGTACCCACACATGTTCCATCTGTGTCACCTGGAAGCGCCTTTCCCTTGCGGGAGTCACCTGTCCTGGACCTGGTCCCGGTGTGTTTGATGTTGGCCTGGAACCTGCCATGGCTGGGGCTGTCTACTTAAGCGTCTCCACTGTCCCGTGGTCTTCTGTCCCTTCCCCTCCTCCTAACCCGTCCCCATGCCTTCTGCTTCAGAAAACCAGGAGTACTTTGAGAAGCACCGCTGGCCGCCCGTCTGGTACCTGAAGGAGGAGGACCACTACCAGCGTGCGCGCAAGGAGCGCGAGAAGGAGGACTACCTGCACCTGAAGCGGCAGCCCAAGCGGCGCTGGCTGTTCTGGAACAGCCCCTCCTCCCCATCCTCCTCCGCAGCCAGCTCGGCGTCCCCGTCCTCCTCCTCGGCCGTGGTCTGAGATGCTGCCACCCTCTTCTGACCCTGCTGCTGTTGTCCGTTTGCCTTTGTCCCTGCGTTCTTCAGCATCACTCCCTCCACCCAACAGGGATAAAGGGACCCACCTACCAGGACCAGAAGGGCAGAGCTGTCATCACCAGCCAGCGCGGCTGAGGAGCTGTCCTTCATCAGAGCAGGGTCACCCACAGGCCCCGGGTTCCAGGCAGGGCAGGGTCCCTGCCGAGAGGTGGAGGGAAAAGGGCTAGAGTCAGAGGGAGGCAGCCCCCAAGGAGGGCCTGTCTGTGTGTCTGTCCCTGCTCTGGCCAGCGGGCAGCCCCTGTCCCCAAGAGCAGCAAGGGCCCTGCCTCTGACAGCCACATCTTCCATCCGTGGGCCTGAGGGTGGCAAACGTTTCGTGGGCGTTTCAAGGAACACACTCAGATCATCTCTGGAGAAATCAGGGTAGAAATTAAGCTTTCAAAGCCCAACTCAAGAGGTCTGCGTCCTGAGGTGCAGCTGCAAGAGGCCATCCTGTCAGCATCCCTCCAGGGCTTTGGGCAGTGCAGGCCTGATGGCAGGTGGCAGAGGTGTTTCTGAGCTGCAGACCTGGAGGTGGGGCCTCTTGGTGCAATGAGAAATTTCTCTCTCCCACTCCTGCATGCTTCAGACTTAGAGATGGGAGCCAGAGGACGCAGCTGGGATGGGGGAGAAGGAAGGGGTGTGGTTTGTGCAAAACAATTCTGTACTCCTCAGGGTGTGCTCTGCCCCTGGGTAGCACTGCTTTTTATGCCATGAAGCAAAATTAGCAAAAAAGACCCTTACAGAAGAATGTCAACCAAACTCAAAAGGTCACCAAGAGAAACGTCTGTTTTGCCAAAGAATGAAGATCAGAAAAAAACACCGAGGAGCCTACATTATTAGAAAGCCAGGCAGAAGGCTCCCAGATGAGGAGACAAAGGATTAGGTTGCATCATCAGCGCGGCTCCCTTGCAGGAAAGGACCTGTGGCCTCTGTGACTGAGGATGCCCGGCCTTGCTGGCTGTCCCTCAGGGAAGCCCAGCTCCAGGCCTGCAGCTTGCTGGTGACAAGCTGTGGGGTTGGAGGGAGGGCTTTGGTCTAAGGGCTTGAGAGGCTTTGGGCTCTTTCTTTGTCCATCCAGAAGGTCCGTTGGCACCTTCTGAAGTGACCTTGCAGGAGTTTCATAAGATGTGCTGGGGGTGGGCAGGGATCAGATGTCAGAGGAAAGGACAGAGCTGGAGGATAGGAGTCCCTGTAATTAAGGATCAAAGACACAGAGCCCCATCCGGAGCTGGTGTATGAGTTAGTGGATGAAACAGGTCAGTCCGGAAAGGAGGACGAAATTGGAGAACGCAAGCAGTGGCTTTGCCCATGGGGTGAAAGCTGGGCCACAGGTGGCCTTTTCCTAATCCACCACCCCACACTTCCGTCTCTTGGATGGAGACCTGCTGAATCAGGGAACAATCCAGAGGCAGTGGTGAGGGGCTCAGGGCCCCGAGAAGATGCCTTAGGAAGCTGGACTGACTAGGCACCAGGAATGGGCTGGTTAGCTCCGGGGCAGGCTGCCCAGAAACAAGGTGACACTGTCATGAGAATGTGCTGTCAAGACCAGGAGGTTGAATCCTCATGAGGGAATAGGAACAGGCAGTGGAGGTCAGGTGGGCTTAAAGTTGAGGCAAACACGTTTTCTGGGCTGGGACCTTCCAAATTCTCGGTGGGCTGGCCGGGAAGGCAGTCACGTGCTGCCCTCTGCTGGCCGGTCGGAATTACTGCAGTTGAGCATCGCGGAGACCAGGGCAGCCCTTTAGCCTCCAAGAAGCGGACAGAGCTGAGAGCACACGTGGGTCCAAGAATTTCTGGTCCTAAAGAGCAAGGCGAAGAACTATCGGTCTTCCAGGAGCCTGCAGGGCTGGGTATCAGGGGCTACGGATGAGAATGGACAGGCTAGTGGGGAGTCGAAGGCAGCCCACAGGACAGCGGCACGGAATCCCCACAGCGCAGGCCCACCACTCCTCAGGGACCCTCTGCCCCTTCCCCACAGCTCTGCAGGAGCAGGTCTGCACCCCAGAGAAACCGCCCCAGGGGACTGTGGGGAGCCAGGCCGGACCGGGAGGGGGAGGAGCTATGAGTGCTCTGAATTGCAGGAGGCAGAAACAGGAAACACTCTGTGTGGGATGAACCCCCGGGCACAGAAAGTAGGAAGGAAGGGGCGGGTGTCACAGGAACAACACACCCCCAGACTCATGACACAGCAGTTACAGAGGAAAACAGGATGGGGCCAAAAAAAAAAATCACACCTCTTTTTATATAAGGTTTCATATTTAATTTGGTCATAAATTCATAAATACATGTATTTTGTACCAAACCACTTTGTGTTTTTTGACATTGCTAGTGACCAGGCTAACACTCCAGTAGACTGGGAACCTCGGGAGTCTTCAAAGGATGAGGGAGTCTCAGAGCTCCCAAGGAACAGTAGACAATGGCCTGCCTTCAGGCTGCATTGCCAGGAACAGGAGCAGGTGAGACAGCCCTTCTCCACGCTTTGGACCAGTCAACCAGCTATGAAACAAGACAATGCAGTGTGCCTGGAAGTGGAAAGGAAATAAAACTCCAGAGCCTGCGAACTGCCATGATTGGGATTCTGCGGAGAAAGTTTTGATGGAAGGATGGCTGAATAATATGGTTCTAAAAATAAAAATAGAACTGGGTAGGGGGCACACACCAGTAATCCTAGCACTTGGGAGGCTGAGGCAGGAGTGTACAATTTTGAGGGTAGCCTGGGCAAATTAGTGACTTAGATCCTGTCTCAACATACAAAAACTTTTAAAAGGCTGGGGATGTAGCTCAGTCCAAAGTTCTGGGTTCAACTGTTCAAAATAATAATAATAATAATAATAAATAATAACATAAAACCACACAGGATAAACCCAGATGTGTCAGTCATCCTGTCTGATCATCACAGCATTAATTAAAATTTTTGCACAAAGTAGTCAGATGCTTACTGAAGGCTATGTAACAGGGAGTCTGCATCCAGTCAGGCACCTCTGGGGGATTTGAGTGACCAGAAGTGTGAGGTACTGTCTGGTCCTAAGTAGGCAAACATGCTACATTCTTAGACTCCTCCTCCCTGAGACCTAGCAGCTGTCAGGGACACAGATATGAGCAAGAACTGAAACCTGAACAGAGATGGGAAATTTGCCTCTTCCTCTCTTGTGGATTTCTCATTCTATGAATGATGTGTCCGCCTCAGTAATAAATGTAAACAATTTAGAAATCATATTTACTGAACGTATTAGAAAAATTACAGTTATCAAAAACATAAATACCTTTTCAGGTTACACAGAAAGAGTATATAAATAATAAATACTTGAACTTTAAGCATGTATCAAGTTCTCCCCTCCGTCCTGCGAACTCTCCTGTGTTTGCATCAGAAGGGGCACGTGGCTGACAGGGTCAGCTTGAATAGATGAAGACCTAGCCAGTTAGGGGAGCACAGTTCTGGATGCGTGTGGATGATGACTCAAGCTGCAAAGTGAAAGGGAAAGGGAACAGGAAAGAAAGGCTCATTTTTGCTTCTTCAGAGATGTTGCTGTCTTCACATTGCCTTTATCCAAAGGTTCGTTTCCAGTTGCTTCAGGATTCCAACGCAGACCGTTGGGCTTTCCCACATGGACTCACACCAGCACATCAGCTCCAGGTCTCCCACTTTCCACCAAGTCCTCCGCTTTCCAGGATGCAGTGGTCCCTCTGCATTCTTCCACCTGACTCCATAGGTGACTGTTGTTGGCCTACTTTGTAAATTCTTTATCACATACGTATATTTATATTAAATCTGTTCCTCTAGTGAACTGTAACTGACACAGGGTAAGTCACTGCAAGCAAAACTTGGAAGGGGATATTTTCATCCCACCCCTTCCTTCTCTTTCTGCTTCTTGGTCTCCATGCAGTGAGCAGTTTTGCTATGACCATTCTTCCATGGGGTTTGGACCTTAGAGCCAGCTGACCATTGACTGACTGACCTTACTGATGCTGTAAGCCCAAATCAACTTCTTTAAATTCCACGTGTCAGGTACTTTGTCTCAGATATGAAAAAAGGCAGATTAGCATGAAGAGTAGGGTCATTGCTGAGCATGTGGGTCAGGAGCCTTTGGGACTGGTTTGTGGGGGGAATCTGGAAAGGTTTGGAGATGCCAGCTAGAGAAGCCATAGAATGCTGTGAGCAGAGATTGATGTGATTCTAATAAGAGTTCAGAAGACCAGCATGCTGAAAGGAATGTGAATAGTAAGGCCACACTCAGGAGATTTCAGTTGGAAACATGGACTCCATTAGCAGTTAACACTAGAGATCACAGTGGCTCACGTGCTTGCCTGGTAAGCGTGAGATCGTGAGTTTGATCCTTGGTAGAAAGAAAGAAAGAGAGAGAGAAAGGAGAAAGAAAGAAAAAAGAAAGAAAGAGAAAGAAAGAAAGAAAGAAAACACTTGCGATTATGTGTGTTCTTCTCTGGCATAAAATTTATCTACATTTTGCCTCAAACTCATGGCAATCCTCTTGCCTCAGCCTCCTGTATGCTGGGATTACAGGCATCCACCACCCTAACTGGCTTTTTGACTCAGTTAACCTCTTGTGGATCAAATAGTTTTTTCAAATGGTTAAAAAAAAATTTGATGTACATTTTGCCCATGTCCCTTTGCAGGGAACTGAGATTAAGGGTAGTGGATTAATTAAGGTGGAGAAAATTTCAAGGCAGCCCCATGTTGAGGCTGTGGCACTGATACTGTTAGCTGCTTTTGGTTGGATCTAGGGTGAGAATTAGATGCAAATAATGTAGAGTTAAATGATGTAAAAAGTTTGCAGTTTCGCCAGAAAGGAAGCTCCTACAAAGCTGGGTCAAGGAGATGGTTGCCGAACAGATTAGCATTAAAAAGAAGCCAAAACTGACATGTGAAACTGCACACCTGTAATCCTAGCACTTGAGAGGCTGAGGCAAGAGGACTGCCACAAATCTGAGGCCAGTCTGTGGCAGACGGTGAGTTCAAGGTCAACCTGAACAAAACAAAATCTTTAAAAGGCATCATGGCACTGAGAAGCCACTGCAGTCATGGTCCAGTATAACCCAGCTACTGTTCACGCTGGCAGCTGACCACAGCATCATCCACAAGGTGTTGGTTTCTCAGGCATGCAGAATGCAAGTTATAGGGTCACACAGGCTTCCACTCAGATTTAGGAAGAAGTCCTAGGAGGCCAAGCTAAAATATGTGAAGAGCCAGCCCAAAAGATAGACGCATCCGAACCAGAGGGATCAAGATGCAGCACAGGTCCAAGGTCAGGGGCTGGAAGCTCACTGTGGAATCATCAGTGCAGGTCTGTGCTGGAAAAGTGAAGGAACTGGAGACTGATGCAGAAAGCAATAGCTGAGACTGGGGCTCTTTGGAAATGGGCGTGCTTCCTTCTTTTTACATTTTTTATCCCACTTGGGCTACCAGGCTATTGGCTGGTACCACTCACACCTGGACTGGATTTCCCCAGATATCCCTGTTTGCTGGCCTGCGTGTCGGTCATCTACAGACACACCTGTATCTGTGCTTCAGTAATCTACTATGCATTCTGAATCTATTCCAGTATCATTAACAGTCACAGACTATATATCCACAAAATTGTTCTTTCACTCCCGTTATTCAGTAGAGTCTGTTTAATGCTCTTGATAAATGAACTCCTTGGACTTCACTGCTTTATCCTCAATGTGTTCCACGGCAAATTTTTCTCCTATATTTTCCAAGGCATCCAGCAATGTGTTGATGGATGCACGGCGTCCTGTTTTGTTGAGCCATTTGTGGAGCATTTCACACAGAGGGTCCTCTGGTTTGCTAATCTTTGCTATGTGGATCTCATTAGGTGTGAGGCCCAGGTGTAGCATGAACTGGTCCCAGGATTTATGGTGCACATATTCCATACAATAAGAGAAGACTTTTCTTAGTGCTAGGAGGGAAAAACGGGGACAGTTGAGCTCAGAGCACTTAGCAGAGGACAGAGGATCCTAAATCAGGTCTAGAATCAAAATGCAGAAACTTGTAAGTTCCCTATGTCCATAAAACTGCTGTGTCAACATCCCAACCTGCTTCCATCACAATGTTTGGGCCTCGCTTCCTCCCAGGACGTGAAGGAAGGCAGAGTCCAAAAAGGATTCTGCCCTGGAGGAGGCGGACGACCCACCTGGGGAGGGTGCACCGATGTTATGGGGAGAGGAGAGGGGCCACGTGCACAGAGAGGCACGGGCAGCGGGCACGAAGGGTCGCAGAGGATGGAAGCTGCATAGACCACTCCTCGGGGGTAGAGCCTAGAGGGCGTGTGTCTGCGCAGGGCACAGCACCTCACGGTGGAGGATCTCTGATTGTCACCCAGCTCAGCCACTTTCACTGTCTCTGGAGCAGAGCTGGATGAGGCAAAGGGACTCGGTGACAACTGCAGAAACTGCAGAAGCAACTGCGCTTGGGTGGTGAGGCCACAGTGGAGCAAAGGAGGCCCATGCGAAAGCATGGCACACTGCGGAGGTGGGAACACAGCTAATGTTCTTTCTTTTCCCCCCTCTGTTCCTTCCTTTTTCCCCCCCTCAAACTCCCAATCCTCCTGTCTCAGCCTCTTAAATCCTGGGATTACAAGTGTGTACCACCCTGCACAGCTCAATGAACTGATGTTTTCTAACAGCCTCATTCCATGCCTCAGGCCTCATTTCACATAAGAGGAAACAAGTGATATATACTCTAATAAGACATTTACTAAATTCTAGTATGGACGAAATTTTAGCATTGCATCATGTAACCAACATCCAAAAGCTTATCCAGGGGACAGTTTGCACGCTCATTTGCATTAAGTCTTTGAAATGTGGTTTGCGGTTTATACTACAGCTCATGGAACTGGACTTGGCCATGGGTCAGCTGCTCAGGAGCCTCCTGGGGACAGTGGGTGACATATTCTATGGCATAGCCCCCTGTGAGACTCTGGAGGAGGCTGCTCTACAAAGGGACAGGAAGTAGGAGAGGGGAGGACAGAAATGTATGGTGTGAGGAGTTGGGGTGCACCCCAGTGGGCAAAAAGAGGGCAGAGGGGAGTTACGATTCTCAAAGTCCAGTGATGAGCGCTCAGGACCCCTGCATCCGGCTATACGGAAAGCAGCTAGGACGTTGCTCCCACTCCCTAGACTCCTGTTTTACTGCCTCGCACAAAACACTCACCATCGGTGGGGTCAACATTTCTGGCTGGACACAGCTGCCGCCGTCCTGCAGGAGACTTCTCAGCTTCAGCAGATTCCTGCTACAAACAGTAAGGATGTCCTGGTCAAAGTCAGGGCACGGGGTTTGAGGCCTGAACCTGACAACCAGCAGCCTTGAGAACAGGGGACCTCACCTCTCCTCTAGGATCTCCATGGGGAGGCAGATAAACTTCATGCCAGTGGCTGCAGCGCTTTTAAGTGCTCACCTGGGCAGGCTCCCTCCACTCAGATGGAGCATTCCCACCCACCTCCAGCAGGGGGCAGCTGTCTCACAACTTTTTTTTGGCTGTGCGGAGGCTGAAACCTGCGGCCTAATAAGCTAAGCAAGGGCTTTATCATGGAGCTGCAAGACTAGCTTCTTATGAAACTCAGCAGAAGTCTGGGGACTGCAGCAGTTTGCAAGATCCAAAGGGAAGCAAGCCAGGCTAAGGCAGAAGGATCACTGAAAGTTCAAAACCAGCCTGGGCTACAAAGTGAGCTCAAGGCCAGCCTGGACTGAATAGAGACCCCCCCCCAAAAAAAAGAAAGAAAGAAAAGAAAATCCAAAGGGAAGTTTTGTTTTGTTTGAAGTATGTCAAGGTTTTTTTTTTTTTTTTGTATCTTTTTATCGGTACCGGGGATCAAATTCACGACCACCTGCTTGTAAGGCAGGTGCTTATGCCGCTGAGCTAAATCCCCAGCCCTAATGTAAAGTGTTTTAATCAACTGTAACATCTCATGTCAATAGTTCAAATGAGGAAATGAAAACATGGACAGTCACCATGGAGGCCAGGGAGACACTGGGAAAAACTAAACACTAAATCTCCTTTTTTTAAGACAGCCTCGAATATAAATATGTAAGGAAGATGTCTGTATGGAAAAAATGCCTTCAGTGGCAGTGGTGACACACCAGAGGCCTTCCCTACAAGGTCTGATCAAAGCGAAAACCCCGCTGTCTGTTGCTTGTTCATTTTCTACAATACAAGGTGTGAGAACCCGGGGCCTCCAGTGTGGCAGACCTGCACCCTGAACACCTCCCCTGGGCCTCCAGGCATGTCCCTGCCCTGCTCTGAGAACTCCCTGCAGCAGAAACAGGAAGCGAGATTCTTGGAATAGAGCAGGAAAAAGTCATTGTTTTAGTTATGTTTATGCACTTTGAAGATCCTAATGCTTAAACAATAATGAAAGATGAATAAAATTCTGGATGAATGTTTAAAAATGTAGCAGGCAACAATAAATTAGAAAATGTTCTTCAAAGAGGATCAGTTTCATAAAGGATCAAATTTATAAAGTGTTTATAAAGTACTTAACTACGAAGAAAACAGAGGTCAAAAAATCAGAATCACTAATCTGTGGGAAAATCTTAATTTAGTTGTAATAAAATATTTGTCTTGAAATGCTATCTTCAGTGGTAAGAAACACTGATTATTAACAAGATGTCAATTCTTCTTAGACTACTTTTATACTTAAGATCAATTCAATAAAAATTTCAATTAGTATTTTGGACATGGAGAAAATAATGAATGAATTCTAGATTTTGTCTAGGCCAAAGCATAAGTTTAAAAAAAATTAAAGTAGAGGTGTTTGCGCTATTTTTTTTGTTTAAACCAGATTGGAAGCCGGGCGTGGTAGCACACTCCTGTTCCAACACTGGGAAGGCTGAGGCAGGAGGATCAATGTATGTTTGAGACCAGCGTGGGCTACAAAGTGAGCACAAGGCCAGCCTGAACTGCATAGTGAGACCCTGTCTCAAAAAGACAAAAAAAAAAAAAAAACAACTCAGATTGGAAAGTTTGGTTGTATAGAAAAATATTACACGTAAAAGAATGTCTTTTACGTATATAAAATATGTAGATATACTTATGCATTAAGACAGAGAAAGGCCAGATGATGGAGCTCAGTAGTAGGGTGCTTGCTTAGCATACAGGAAACCCTGGGTTCAGTCTCCAGCAGAGAGAGAGAGACAGAGAGACACAGAGACACAGAGAGAGAGAGAAGATACAGAGAAAGAATCAAAGAATTACAAGAAATGACCTGTCATAGTTATCTTGGGGTTGGTGAGCAGAAAAAAATGCCCTCATTATTTATTTGAGCCCCCTTCTATCCTATTTAAATTTATCACATTGACTAAGTATTAAACTCTTTCTAAAAATGTCAAGCCACTTAATCAAACTAGAGGGATTACTGGCATTTATAATGCTTCCTTTTGTTTTCATTTTCTCTTTGTTAAAGACTGGATGAGCCTTCGCCCTGTGATTAAGGAGAGATCAAAAGCAGAAGGAAATGACAGACTCAGTGTGCAAATGTGATCAGTAAAACTAGACAGCGACTTAGAATTTGGGGAGCTCACTTCAATCACATCACAAAACACACTTCCCTCAGATTACATAGTTATATGCAAAAGTGAGTTCTTGAAAAAAACCTAGTGGGATTCACTTTAGGTTGGGCAAAGATCTCTCTGAAGCTGATGAGCAGTGAAAATTAAATGCATCTACTGATTTCACATCATCAAAATGAGTGTGCACAGTGGGATGGGGAGTGTGCGTGCACATGCATGGGTGTGTGTGTGTGTGTGTGTGTGTGTGTGTAGTAAATGGTACTTCTATGCACTGGCTTGGACATTCTATTTCTTCCAAACACAAACAACTGAACAAAGACTTATTTTCAGACACTTCAATGTAACAGTCATCTTGGGGTGGATTTCAAATGCCTGAGGTCAGGCCTCGCTGAACCTGACAAACTCAGCCCTTAGTCAGCAGTAAACACTCCGCTCCCACTCTATGCCTGTACTGTTCCAGGGTCTGGGGAGAGGGACACAGCACGAACTAACAGAGACTCAAAAGAGAAAGTCCCCGGAGCCCCGCACTGCCCTGTCCCAGTCAGTTCCTTGTCTCTCTGTTCGCACTCCCCCTATGCCAGGAAACCTGATGGCTCACTCCTCTCCCCCTGCCTACAGCCCCACTCCACCAGCGGTCCCCTACTCACCAACAAACAGTCTGCCTCCCCTGGGGTCTGTGCAGTGACATCTGTTGCAACCTGTCCTTGTTCTGTTTCTTGCTCGAAGACCAGGGAACACTCTAACGATATCCTGCTATGGTCATTGTCCTCAGTTTCAGACCCTCCTGGGGCCTCTGACAAGTCAATGTGGTCCTTGGGAAGACAAAGAGGCCACTCAGGAGTCCACGCCCACCGGGTCCCTATTGCCTCCCAGTGCGCTCACCCCAGGCCACTACAGCTCAGACATCCATAATCTGCCACTGGTACTGCGATCCTGGTTTCATGCCCAGGTGGTGTCATTGCACTGTCAGTCAGCCCAGAGCCCAGAGCTTTACAGAGAGTGGGGACAGTGGCACAGGACAAATGGGCACGGGTCCTCCCCAGTTGTGTAGTTGCTGGAAGTGGATCCTGAGCCCCCACTCCCCCAGGCCCAGGAAGTGCCAACTCACTCCGGTCCTGGAGTCCTGTCCACAGTCTGGATAGGATCTCTCAGTCGAGGCAGGGGTCCTGGACTTCAGACAATGGACAAGAGCGCTGGGCCACTCTTAGGAGGAGGAAGAGAGGGGCAAAATTAAGCAGATGCCCAATCTTTGAAAGGTTTTGCTCTGAGCAACACAGTTTAAATCAGGATATATACATAACAAGAGAGAGCAGGACAGGAGGACACAGGCGCGGGGGGCATTTGTGTTGGGAACATAGCGGGGTGGGAAGGGGCCAATACTTACTTGAAAGGATGTTCCTCTGAAGAAAAAGTTTTATCGTCTTTTTAAAATAAACAAGCAGACCCACCAGGATGAGTATGACAAAAGCCAGTATGACATATTTCGTGTCTACGGAAGGAGAAGGATAGGTGGGAGTCCTTGGACTGCTGGTCACTGGCTTTCCAGGAGCGGGGGCTTCCTCAGTGGCCTTGGTACCTGACTGCTTGTCCATACACTTGAGGTCACTCCAGGGGGTACAGGGACTCACTATCACCATCCCATCCGGGCAACTGGGTACACACAGGGAGGAAACGATGGGCTTCTGTGAGGGAAGGCAGCCAGGTGGGGCCCAAGAAGGAGCCACCCTTCCTGCCCAGTGTCCCCAGAGGGTGGCAGAGGAAGGCCGGGCTCCTCACACTTCCTGCTGCCTCCCAAACTTGCCCCAAGTCTGGGCAAGGCCCTGAGCCTTGCCCTGTGCTCCTCCTCTGCAGGGTGCACTAGCCGCCCCTGGACCTCAGGAGCCGGCAGGAGCTTGGGTGGCCACTGCCCACCGATCTCTGGTCCTCCCCATCTGGACTTCCTCTCAATCACAGCAAATGCTGGGGGGGTCCAAGAAGATTAGATTAACTACTGGTTGGACTCCTAAAGCTCCAAATAGCAATAAAACATAGCCCCCCCACCAAGTTTATGTCCTTCAAGGATTTTCTCCCCACATTTCTTACTAGTAATACTGGCTATACAGATGAATGAGTTTCATTCTGGAAGATTTGTACGGGTACCTAACTTACGTTAACCACCCCCACCCTTTCCCCCACTTTCCCCTCTAATTTGGCATGCAGTGTTCTTTTGGGGGAGGCAATGGGTTTAATGTATTTTGATCTTACATCACCTGTCACACACCTTTGCACACTCTCTTCTGCCTCTTTCTTCCCTTCTTCATCTAATACTAGTCTCCCTTCTGCTCAGAAGAGCAGAATCATCTTTTTTGAACTCCACATCCAAGGGAGGACATGCTGTATTTGTCTCAGTTTAGCTTATTTTGCTCATCATGATCTCCAGATCCAGCCACATTTTGTTTTGTAAATGACAAAATTTTGTTGTTTTATGGTTTAATACTACTCCGCTGTATATATCCATTCATCGGCTAACAGGCACCTAGGCTGGTTCATATCTTGCCTATGGTACACTGTGTTGCTTGGGTATGGAGGCATTCTCAGAGGTGCTGACTTTAATTCCTCTGGGTGTCTACCTAGGAGTGGTACAGCGGGATCAAATGATAACCCTGTCTTCAGTCTTTTTGAGGAACCTCCATAGTGATTTATATAGTGGCTGTAACTAATTTACATCCCTGACCTTTACCAGCATTTATTTTATTACTGCTGTTGTTACTATTACTATTGTTATTATTTTTGTATTCTCGATGCTAGCCATTCTGACTGGGGTAAGACTGGTAGTTTATGTGTCTATTTTTGTACCACTACTAGGCTGTTTTTGGCTTTGTGATATAACTGAAATTATGATACCTCCAGTCTTGCTCTTACTGCCTAGGGTTACTTTAGCTACTTTGGGTCTTTTGTGTCTCCATGTGAATTTTAGGATTTTTTTGGTCCTACTTCTCCATTGGTATTTTGATAGAGATTGAGCTGAATCTATAGGTCACTTTGGGTTGGTGCTTTAACAGGATTAATTCTACCAATTCATGAGCATGGGCAGTCTTGCCATCTTCTGGGATCTTTTTCAATTTCTTTTAGTGTTCTGAAGTTTTTATGGAAGAGATTTTTCGCCTGTTTGGATAGAATGATCTCTAGGTCTTTTATTAGTTTTGACGCTATTGGGGATGGAATTGTTTTCTGATTTCTTTCTCAGCTAGTCACTGTGGTGCACAGAAAAGCCATGGATTCTGATGTTGATTTTATATCCAGTTAATTTTCTGACACTGTTTATCAACTCTAAAAGTCTTTTGGTGGAATCCTTGGGGTCTTCTAAATACAGAGCAATCAGGAGTCTGGGGTGAGGCTAGCTGAGGTGATTCTGGTCTTTTTATGTCTTTTTTAGGTTTTGGGGGGATACTGACACTTTTGTCTGCCTAAGCCTCTGCCTACGTAAGAAAGAACTAAGAAAATCACATTTTATTACTGGTATGGTGTATCAATGAACATACACCTGGCTATCTTCTACTCACTCTTCTGTTTTCAAAGGGAGCGAGGTCATGTCCTAGAGACCTCAGTGAACAATCGGCCTGGCCAAGGAGAGACAGAAAAGGGTGGGAGGGAAGGGGACCACATGGATGGACCAGGAAGGGCCACCACAAGCTCGGAAGACCCCAGCAGCAGGGGAAGATCTGTGGGGTCAAGAAAGAGAAAGTGGTACAAGGAAACTAGAGGCTTCTGCGGGTTTCTGTGGGCTCCTGGGAGCCTCCATTCCTGGGTCTCACCTGGTCCGACATTTCTGGCAGAACTCAGGGGAGCCCTCTTCCCGGAAAGTGCCCGCCTTACACTGGCACACCGTGTCCGAGGTCCTGGTGCACGGGTGCTGCACGATTTGTTCTAGAAACAAAAGAAAAGCTTTGAGGAATGCGTTGACCTGTCCCCTCGTGTCTTTCCTGTCACTGTCACTGACCTCTGCAAATCCTGGCTCTGTTGGAAAGGAGGCAGGGGACTGAGGACATACATGAAGGCTGAGAGAGCTCCCCACCTTCAGAGGAGTAGAGCCTGGCTGAGAACAGATCCGGGCACTAGGACCCCACCTTCCCCTCTCCTCTGGGCCACACCTTTTTCTTAGGCTCTGCCTTCAGTTTTACAGGGAGCCAGAAATGTGAGTTGGGCTTTTTGTGGGAGGTTCTGGAAGGAGAGGCCTAAGGCCAGAGCAAGGCTGACCCAGTGTGCGACAGCAGTCTGCATGGGGTCAGGACACCACGTGAGACAGAGAGGATGGATGCTCAGGGTGGCTCCCTTCCGTCCTCCTCCAGATGCGTATCTGCCTTGCTGACTTCCACTCTTCCCTCTTCCACCACAGGGATCTCGGTCAAATGCAAACCAGACCCCTGTGTGTAAACCACAGACCGAGGTCACCCATACAGAGCAGGAGACTCTTGCCAGAGCCAGAGCCCTATCAGGCACGGCTCCTGCAGGAGGGCTCTCTGCTGCTCCCTCCTGGGGCCCCTACCAAGATGCTCTTCCCTCTGCCTCCTGAATGCTTGTGGTCACCCTTCAAGGTGCAGCTCATTACGCCTTGGTCCCTGGAGTGCTGCCTCTGCCTGCTGCCCAAGCCCCCTGTTCAGTCACCTCAGGCCCATGGGGGCTTCTAGGAAGTGTCCTTCTGCAACCAGCCCAGTGACTCCCGCTAGCCCCCTGAGAGCCATCAGCAAGTTCAAAGATAAGCTGGCCTGGAATGGAGGTTCCTGAGTCCACATCAGCTACATTCCCATCTCGGTGCCCCACGCCCATCCCGGGATCCTCCTTGCCGGGTACCTTGGGCACAGCTGCTGCATGGCAGGCAGGCCTGGAGGTGATTAGGGTAGGTGGTATAGTCCACTCCATCTTCACAGTCTTCACATGTATTGGTGTCTGACAGGTAAGATCCTGAGGGAGAGAAAAGCTGGTGAGCACATCTTTGCAGGATTCCCAGTGCTGGCAACAGGGACTGGCAACAGGGACTGGCAACAGGGACAGGGCGGGGACGGTGGCCACCTGTGGAATACAAACAGGACCTCAGCTACTCCTCCTATACCACCCCTGCCTTAGAAAGATGGCACTAGGCACGCCCGAAACTCACGTACAGAGTACCCAGGCTGAAAAGAATAAGGCCAAATTAAATTTGTGGCTTTTACAGACAAGGTCTTGCTACGCATTCCAGGCTGGCCAGGGCCTCTGCCTCCTGACCACTGGAGTCACAGGTGTACGCCACCATGCCCCGCTTTACAGTCAGACCAACAATATACTTACAATATAATATCCAAAATGTTACCCTGTCAACACACAGTCAAGAGAGAACATGTGTGCACTGGGAGTGAAACCCAGAGTCTTAAGTGCTGGGCTACCTCCCCAGCCCTTTAAGAAAGTATAATTAACTCATTTATTATTTTGAATTCATTATTATGACAGTGGGGGTTGGATCCAGGATCTTCACACTGAACTACATTCCCAGCCCACTTTTAAAATTTCCTTTTATTCCATTTTATTTTCTATTTTGAGACAGGATCCAATAAAATTGCTAAGCTGCCTCTGCCCCACAATGGGCTGTGACCATAGGCCCACACCAGCAGGCCTGGCTACCTTTTATTATTTTTTTAACACTAATGAAATCCACAGTGCATTTTTCACTCCAAGGTACATACTGGTAACCTAGTTTTCCACTGAAGGCCCTGGAAAAAGTGGGAGCAGGCAGGAAGGAAACAGTAGAAAAACCAAGAAAGTTAAAGAAAAACCAAAAACTTGTTCTTTAAACAAATCAATAAATTGACAATGGCTATTAAATGGGGTGGGGTAAAATTATTACAATCTGAAATAAGAGAAAAGTTATTACGACTCACTTCATAGGAATGACTAAGAACTTCGGTATAGCCATAAATTCAGTACCTTTAGTAAAAGTAGGCAGATTTCTAGAAAGACACAAACTACAGAAACCAACTCCATTTGAAACACACTCTGGCAGCCCTTCCTCTTGGGCTGTGGCAGGCCTGCTCCTGGAGGACGTCACAATGGCAGGCAGCCAGGCAGTCCTGGAGGGCCCAGGAGGCAGCTGAAGCAAACCACAGGATCCATGGCTCACCAGGATGTGGGGGAGCTGTGCCCTCAGCCAACAGTCACAGCCACCCCACCTCTGCCTGCCACACCCATCCAGACTGCTGGGGGCCAAGGCCAAGATGGGGAACAACTTCTCCAGTCAGGGAGACGGGAAGAGGAGGAAAGAGAATGGACACAGTATGGCAGGTAGGGCCACTTGGTTGTTTATCAAGGTTGTGACTCAGGATGATGATCACTTCACAAGTTGACTGGAGCAGACTCTTGAGTGCAAGTAGCGTGACAAAGTGAGAGGAAAGATGAGGACAATTATGACTACAAGACTATGACAAGAGAAGACCCCGGGATCAACCGAGAGGAGGGTGCAGTGCTATAAACAAATCCACAGGACCTAGGGACACAATGGTTTGCAGACCAAAAAGTGCCTTCTGCCCGGGACTTATAGACACAGTCTTCTGGGCCAGGGCTAATTACAACAAAAGCCAGAACCACACATAAGGGAGACACAGCAAACTCATGCAGAAAAGGAGTTTGGGACGGGGCATCACTGCAGCACACCAGTAATTGCAGCACTCAGGAGGCCGAGGCAGGAGGATCTGACATTAGAGGCCAGCCTTGGCTAGCTACATATGAGTTCAAAGCCAGGCTGGACTAAAATGCGGGCAATATACGTTCAGCCATGTTTATAGCAGCACAATTTGTAATCGCTAAATCTTGGAAACAACTCCCATCAACTGAGGAATGGATAAAAAAGATGTGGTAGTGTTTTCATACAATGGAGTACTACTACCCAGCTATCCTGAAGGGTAAACTTGAGACATTTTTTGGGCAATGGATACATATTGCCCATACAAAAATACAAGACCATACAAGACCATACTCATAAGTGAAATAAATCAGACTTGTGTACACATCGTTATTGTCTCTCTAGTAAGAGAACATGAAGAAGTAAGTACAACAAGTAAGTACAAAATGTACAACAGATCCTGTAAAATGGGAAGGAACTGTTCAGAAGGAAAAGAAGGAAAGGCGAAAAGGAAAGGAAAAAAAAAAATATATATATATATAATAGTTAAGATAGTTATACTACTAAGTGCTATTAATTCATTGAAAAGAAAGGTTTGTGCCTATATTGTTTGATCAGTTTTTCAGGCCTACACCTTAGTACAAGCAACTACTTTGAAGTAACAGTACACAATGCACTAACCACTGCAGCTCTCCTACAATCTTATTTTGAAATTTTGTGCCATTGTTGTTATTGGTTTTTTTCTTTAAAATTAAAAAAAATTGTTTTAAAAGAAAGAAGCAGGAGCACAAGATGGGAAAAGAGAGGGAAGAGGGATGAACTTTTGGAGGAAGACACAAAAAGTGGTAGGAATAGTGAGCAGGGTTTCAAAACACTAGGTCCTAAAACTCCATCTTGGCCAGCAGCATGCTGTGCTTAAGAGACGCAGCCCCACCCAGCACCATGAAGGAAAGGTCTTGGCTGGCCCTCCTGTGGCGCAGCCAGCATTGGACTTCAGAGTCCTGTGGAGGTTTCAAGCAGCCCCGCTGCTCTTTCTGCATATTCATTTTACAGGAATTTTCTACATTTTATACATGTGTGAACTAGAATTGGCAGCACGCTTTCCTAATCACTCTGCGAAGAATAACAACCAAGACAAAGCTCCTGCATGCAGCATTCTTTCACAGTGACTCTGCAGGTACAGAAAACCAAACTGTGCTGTGCATGGTGATGCACATCTCTCATCTCGGCACTCTGAAAGGCTGAGTCAGGAGGATTAGAAACTCAAGCCCAGACTGAGCAAAACTTAGCAACACTCTGTCCCAAATAAAGAAATGAAAAAGGGCTCGGGATATAGCTCAGCGTGAAGGCCCTGAGTTCTAGTCCCAGTACTGCAAAACCAAAACAACACACAAAACCCAACAGCCAATGTCATTCTAAACTATTTTATGTTCAGACATCGGGGCCTTCATAACAAGGGCTGACCACCACAGATTTGCTGCACTTCCCGTGGACTTTCTGTGCCTCAAAATGGCTGGCTCAGAAGTTTAAAGGGCTAGTGTGAAATCTCCTAGCAGAAATCCAGCAGAAAGCCAGCCACCTGGATTCTGACCTGCTGCACGTAGTGCTCTTATTTAACCTGCCTCTTGCTCCAGCCTAAAGCACACTCCATGCAGTAGGCGTGGCTGTATTAGACTTCCTGGTCTCAAAAAAGCTGTGATTTATAACTGAATTTTAGTTGTAGTCTGATACAATCACAAATGAACTTTAACCACATGGGTCCAGCATGGGAGAAAGGGAGCAGGAGAGAGCACTCTTGTTTCTTATTAGTCATTTTTTAATTTGAATAGTGCTCTTTATGTTCTGCATTAAGGCCTGTTTCGCTTTGCTGTAGAGTAAGTTGGCTGGCATAATACATTGCTTGGTTAAGTAAATAACCTGACGTATGCACTAGAATTTGGAAATGTTTGCCCATCACTGGGGTGGAACCAAACAACCTTTCTGCAGGGCATGGACGCCATAGGCTCTACTTCAGGTGCTGATAGAGGCTCAGCTAATCAGGTTTAAACTACTGGAAACAAGGGCAGGCGAATGGCTTCACTCAGACTAAAAGATTCCCTGACCTATCCTAAAAGATGCAAAGCAATGTGAACAGAATCTCACCTAACACCCATCAAGTATCATGGTACTGGACTTTCTAAAGATACAGGGATCCCGGCTAGTTCTGCAGCTGTATTGGTCAGCCTTCCTGCTGCTGAGACAAAATACCCAATACCTCCATTTTGGCTCATGGTTTTAGTTTGTGGCTGGCTGGTTCCAAGGCAGAAATAACATGACAGTGGGGCCTGGTGGAGAAAAAGTGCTTAAATCTGCAGCAGATAGGAAGTAGAGGGATTGAGGACAAGAATATGCCCTTCCAGGTCATGCCCTCATGACTCACCTCCAACAAGTCCCTGCCTCTTAACCACCCATTCAGCTTCAAACTCATGAGCACAGCCCGACCATGATCTGATCACCTTCCAAACACATGAGACATAAAGCCCAGAGAGCTACCCAAGCCCAAGACTACCAAAAAGTTTCTTTTCTGGTTATACATCTTCAATTCAGTAGAAGAGTTTCACAGTGGTACACCCGCTCTGGAAGAGGAGTCTGGGTTTCTCTAGAACAACACGCCACTCCCCCCCCCACCAAATGCAGAAGGACAGACCGGCTACAGGCAAGAGCCAAGTAAATAGCACGAGAACATTTTCAAGAGGGCCAGGCTTGATGAATGTATCAGTGCAGGAACTGGAATACAGAGAGAGTTAAGTAGCTCCTGAAGGACCTGCCAGTCACTCCTGGGCACTGACACAGGCAATGTGGACATAGCAGGGAGGACCTGCCTGCTGCATCTGGGTGTGTGGCCCAGTGGTTACATGACAGCAGATTCTTAAACTGAAGGCTTCATTTAGGGACCAAAAATCTTAAATAATCTATTGAACCATGAGCCGCATGTTTTCCCTGAGTTACTAAGCATCTGTCCTTGTACAGCTGAAGGGAAGGTTATATTATTTCCTTTTTCTTTCTTTCTTTTTTTTTTCTTTTTAATCAGTACCGGGGATCGAACTCACAACCACCTGTTTGCAGGCAGGTGCTTATGCCACTGAGCTAAATCCCCAGCGGGAGGTTATATTATTGAGAATAAGCTAAGATGAATAATAAGGTGACATTTAATGACATACTGTACTGGAAATCTGAAGACCTACAGTAGATCTAAATTCCAACAATCATAAATCTTTGAGGTTGTAAGACTATCAATATGCCTAGGAATCATTTTAACACACCATATGATGGGCAGGAGAAAAGGTGACTGGGACTCCTAAATACACTGACAACAAAGACTTTGATTCAGAAAGCAAAAACTAAATTTAAAGAAAAGTCCACGCCCAGGTGATTTCACCACTGAATGTCACAAAACAGTTCAAGACCAATTAAAGCCAATGATTCCCAAACTTAAACAAACAAACAAACAAAAAAATAGAAGTGGAAATAATACTTCCCAGCTCATTTTAGAGGACAGTATTAGCTCCCTAATGCCAAAATAAGGACATCATAATAAAAAGAAACTAAACACCAATTATTTATAGGATATGGGTGTAAAAACACCCAAGAAAATACTAATAAATTAACTCTAGTTTTATAAAGCAATTATACGCCCTACCCCTGTGAGTTTTATGGTATGCGGGCAAGTTCAGGCTCCCAAACATAAATTAATGTAGCAAATCATAACAACTGACTAACAACCACAGGGCATGTAATTATCTCAAAAGACACAGGGAAAGCATTTATGTGCAATCTAATCCAATAGCCTTTCATGGTAAAATTCACCAAATAAAGTAAGAATAGAAACTGCCTGGCGAATGTGCCTGGGGCCAGATGGGCAGTCATCCCCAGGACAGGCTCAGGGATGCTCCAGGACCGGGTTTCCAACATGCTGCCTCAGGAGCTCTCTGGGAGCCCTCCACTTTTGCACCTCCAGCACTAGCAGGTGCCGGTCCCCTTGCCATGTGCCCTCCCACCTAGAGAGAGCTCGCTGCTCCTGGCACTATGGTCTGGGCAGGCTCCAGGCTGCGGGCTGTGGAGCCGGGTGTATGCTGGCGGCCAGGTTCTGCTCACTTGAACAGGCAGGGACCTTATTTGACACTCGTCTGCAGGTGTGTGTGGGTCCTTGCTCAGTGCTGAAAGCATGGGGGTGCAGTGTGCATGGTGGTGGAGGTAGTGGTAGGGCCTCAACCAGTGGGTGACACATTTATATCCTAGCAGGTGCTGGAGGCCAGAGATGAGGGTGCCTCCCCATCATGCAGAGGCCAGTCCCCAACATCAGCAATAAGGTTTAGCACCCCAAAGCCTGCACATCGCTGTGCACACATCCTGGCACCCGTTCCTCTCCTCTTCTCCTAATATCCACGGTGCCTGGCACTGAGTAATCAGCACTATACTGGTACTTCCATTTCAGACACCACCAAGACCCTGGGGAGTGAGTGCGCTCTGTCCATGCCGGATACCTGGAGTGCAAACAACCCCAGCCCCTTGCTTGCTTGCCCTGAAAAGGGCAAGTCCCTAGGGTGTAAGTATGGATCAAGACTCGGTGGAGGTTGATGGTTCTCTCACACAGGTGTCAGGTGTGGACGATCTGCCAGAAGGGTCCTTACTTCCCCTGGTTTCAATGACATGCAGTGTTTAAAATAATCATGGTTTAGCCAGGTATGGTATGCAGGCCTGTAATCCTAGCACTTGGGAGGCTGAGGCAGGAAGATTGCCGTGAGCTTGAGGCCAGCCTGGACTCCATAGTGAATTCAAAGCCAACCTGAACTACACTGTAAGATTCTGTCTTAAAAAAAAACCAAAAAACAAAAAACAGAAACTATGTTTGATTCTAAATCGTTTGCTATCCAAATAAAACAAAATTATTTTAAAAAATGAATTTCACCTGATGAAAAGCATCTTCAAAACTCCCACAGCTCACAATATAATTAGAGGTGAAAGACTGAACACCACACACACACAACACACACACACACACAAGATATCATCTGTCGTCATTTTTATTCAACATTGTGCTAGAAGTACTAGCCAGGACAATCAGGCAATGAAAAAGAAATCATCCAGGTCCGGCATGGGCATGATACTGTAGGTGACATCCAGGCCTGTAATGGCAGCACTCAGGAGGCTAACGCAGAAGAAGCACTGACAGCTTGGGATACATAGTGAGTTCAAGGCCTGCCTGAACTACGTAAGACCCCATCTCAAAAACAAACAAAAGTCATCCAGATTGAAAAAGAAAAAAGAAAAACTGTCTCTATTGGCAAAGACATCATCTTATATCCACTGAAAGAATATTAGAATAACTTCAGCAAGGTTACAGAATACAAGGCCAACTTATAAAAGTCAATTACAGTTTCATACACTCACAGTGTGCAATCCAAAAATAAAATAAATAAAATCGATTTATTACAGCATCAAAAAATATGTAGAAATATATTTAATAAAACAAATGCAAATATGAAAACTACAGAACATCTAAATAAACAGAACAACATCCTACCCTCATTGAATAGAAAGACTGAACAATGTTAAGATGATATTATTCTTCACGCTCTCCACAGGTTCAATGTAATTCCAATCAGAAAGTCAGTTAGATTTTTTGCAGCAATTTGGATGATTCTAAAATTCATATGGAATCTTGAGGGGCCAAGATAATAAAAATTATCTTCAGGAAAAGGAAAGCAAAACAGGAAGACGTACGCTTCCTGATTTAAAAACACATTCCAGCAGAATTCAAGACAATGTGGCACTGGTAAAGGAAACAGACCAACGGCATAAACTGAGAGTTCAAAAATAAATCTATACATTGACGTTCAATTGGTTTGCAACCAGGGTGTCAAGACCATCCCGTGAAAAAGGGCAATCTTTTCAACACTGGGTGTGGGGACAACTGCAACTGGACAGCACGTGCAAAACAAAAAAGCTGGGACCTTATGTGACCCTGCAAAGAACAATGAACTCAAAGTGGATCAAATATCTAGACAGAAAGGTGAAAACTACTACACTCTTGGCAGAAAATCCAGGATATGTCTTCATAATTTGGCAAAGGCTCGTTAGGCATCTGTTTAGGAACTGCAGGGAAGAGAAGAGAGGAAAAATGTGGAGAGAGCTGCTGTGAAGGATTAGAGGTAAATTTTAAATCCGTACCTGCTGGACATAACTCGAGATGCCCTCTCCACCTCTCTAGCACAGCAGGCTCATGAGCTTCCCTGGTTTGGACTTGCCCGATGACAACCTGTGGGGACAAAGCAGGGACTGGCATGAGCGGTTTCCAGGTCTCATCTATTACAAGACTAACCAAAACTATACAGAAATCGGACATCTCTCCCAGTTCTAAAACCCTCAGCCTTCATTTGTATTCATATTTGTCTATTGATGTCTTAGGAACAGCAAAGTAATATACACTTGAACAACTTTCTTTTTATTCTTTCCTCTTTAACAAAAACATTACATTGGATAGTGGAAAAATACAAAAGGTGTTTATTAAAATGAAAGAAAAGTCATACCCCATCAAACTGGAAATTACATCTGGAATCTATTCTTCCTTCTACTAATTGATTATATATGTGTGAATACCGTCTCCTTCTCCCTCCCTCCTGCCCATTCTGTTATCCACCTCCACCCAGCCCGACAGGCAACATTTTACTTTCTGTTTCTATGAACTTAGCACATCTGGGCACGGTTTATGAGACGAATGGTTCAGTACTGATCTTTTTGTGACTGGCATATTTCACTTAGCATAACGTCTTCATGGTCCAGCCTTGCTGCACCCCGTGTCAGAATTGCTTTCCTTTTATTTACAGCTGTATAAATGCATACGCGGTATTTTATTTATTTTTTTCTCCTGTTGACAGCACTTGGGTTGCTTCTACTGGCAGACTATAGTGAACAGTGAACAGGGGTGTGTGAAATCCCTTTTTGAAACTATTTTCAACTCTCTTGAGTAAATACCCAGAAGTAGAAAACAGTGATATGAATTAAAAACTACTGGTCACCTTAACGCCAGAGGAATTAAATCAGCACAGTGCTGATCGCAGATGTCCCATCTGAGGGAAGTTGCCAGCATAGAGGCATGGAGAAGGAGAAGCAAGGCGTTGTGGGTTTCTCTAAGTGTTGCTGTCTGAGCCGCTGGATCTCCTGGAGGAGCTCATCATGACTAGCTTCCCCAGTGTGAGTTCAACCATTGTCATCAGAGGAGCTCGGAACCTTGTGCTTGTTGCTGAGAGTGGCTATGGTTCACTTTGGGGGAGCTCTGGTCCTTATATCGAGCATTGTTTCCTGGCTCTGGAAGGGAAGTCATGTGTTGTTTAATCTCCAGAAGAAACTCATCATGCTAGTGTTCTGGCATGTATTGGACTGTTCTTAACCTGAAAGGAGCTCTGGACCTCTGTGTCACTGAGGATGGCTGTGGTACTTTGCAGGACAGCCCTGGTCCTTGTTTTGACTGTGACTTCTTGGCTCCAGTGTAGAACTCTCAAACACCAATACAGCTCCTTCACCCCACTGGCATAGACTTTCTAGCTTCCACCACTGACCTCTGGGCCTTCCCCCACAAATCCATAAAACAGACGGGTGTGAATCCTTCTCGTGGGCTCTAGACCTCCAGTTGGACTCTTAGGAGGCATTGTCATGGGCTCTAGGTTTTCATCTGGATTCATGCAGGACATTGCTGTGGGATCCAAGACCTTGGCTGAATATTCCAGGCCTTCAGTGTTGAGGACATATTTCCCAACTTTCTTTGTTAACTGTGGGTGACCATCATAAAATAATATAAATTTTGTGCCCTAATTCTAATTGTTCTCTGCACAACCCTGACTACAACATACAGCAATCCTATTTTTAATTATTTGAGGAACTGCCATAGCATCTTCCATAGTCTGAACCAAACTATTTATTTGCCAGTAGAGCACAGGCATTCCATTCCTCTATAGCCTCACCAAAACTTCAGTCGACTGTCCTGATGTGTGTGAGGTGCAATCTCCTTGTGGTTCTGATGAGCACTCCTCTAACACGTCACTGAGGGGGATCGACTTGTTTTGTGCTTTTTGAGCATCTGTGCAACTACTTTGGAAAAACGTCGTATTTGAGTTTTCTCTGTTCATTTCTGGATTGGGCTGTTTGATGATTTTTGTTGTTTTTTTTAAAAAACTTTATCAACCCCTTATTCCCAATTTTAATAGGTTCTCTTTTCTCTCCTTTATCTTTTTTTTTTATATAAAGGACACTTTTCATTTTGACATAGTCCAGTTTATCTACAAGTATTTTTATTTTTGCTGCATGTGTTTTTAGTGTCTGATGTAGGAAATCATTGCCAAATCCAATGTGGTTAAGCTTTTTTTCCCCTATATTTTCTCCCAGATATTTTATAATTTTACCATAAAATCTATAGTTTTTTAAATGTGTATTTTTCACACTGAGAAAGTTCTCCTCTGTTCCTAATATAATGGAAACTTTTATCATGAATGAGTGCTGTTTGGCAAGTGCTTTGGTGCATCAGCTGACATGCTCATATAGACTTTCTTCATCAATGTTAGTATCATAAATAATACTATTGCAAACGCTAACCCAACTAATATTCCTAAAGTAAACTCACAGTATATTATTTTCTTTAAAATTGCTGGATTCAAGTGGCTACATTAAGGTTGGTTGGTTTGTTTTCACATCTATACAGATAATGGACCTTTTTTGTAATCTCTCTCAGATTTTGGTATCAGGGTTCTGCTAGCCTTACAAAAGTGAAGAAGTACTTCCTCCTTTATTTTTCAGAAACAATTTATGAAAGATCATTTCTTCTATACATATTTATCAAATTCATCAGTGAAATGACATTAGCCTGCAGTTTTCATGAAAGATAATTCACATTATTTTCATATCACGTGAAGTAGAATTTTTAAGGACCTTTTTCCATGTTATCCAAGTTGTTAAATTCATTGGCATGAAGTTATAAGGTCCCATTATTATTCTTTTAATGTCACAGAATTTGTAATAGTCCATCATTAATTCCTGATATTGTTGGGCTGAAGCAGGAGGGGGTGCTTGGACTACTGGCATGAGCAATTGTGCTGGCTTTTTAATTTTATTTTTGAATTTTGAAAATAAATCTATTTTATTAATATTTTTATCATTTAAGGGAATCAAGTTTTGGATTGTCAAGTCCTTTTAGTTTGTTCCATTTCACTTTGCATGTGTGTGTGTGTGTGTGTGTGTATGGCAGCACTAGGGATTGAACACAGAATCTACACATTGAGCTACATCCCCGACCCATATTTATTTTGAGACAAGATTTTACTAAGCAACCAGGTTGCCTGGGTTGAGCTCAAAATTGTGACCCTCCTGCCTGTCTCTCAGACATCGCCCAGCTTATTTCACTGACTTTCACTCTTTTTACTTCCTTCCATTCACTTACTTTAAGTTAATATACATCTAATTTATGGGTGATTATTATGGATCTTCCAATCATTGATCTTTATAATTTTTCTTTTTGTCCTTAACATTACTGAAATATAATACATGCACAACTCACCCCTTTAATGTGAATGCTGAATGGTTTTTAGTAGTCATAGAGATACACAACCACCACTAAACATTTCTAAATACCTCCCCAAAAAACTTTACATCCATCAACAGTAATATCTTATTTCCCCTGAACTATTTCTTTTTTGGCAGGGAGGGGCTTGAGACAGGGTCTTGCTGTGTAGTTCAGGCTTGTCTTGAACTCACTACGTAGCCCAGGCTGGCCTCCTGGCTCAGCCTCCTGGGTACTGGGATTACGGGCATGCACCACCATGCACAGCCTCCACAATTCTTTTAACAGAAGGCTGAAAGCTATTTATTTCACTGGAAGCACTGTTAGCAGCATTTCAAAAAATTCTGTCACACAACTTGACACATGCTAGGCAAGCACTCCAGCGCAGAGCTACACCCTCTCCTCTAAATGAACTTTCTGAACACTATCAACAGCCACTATCCCTTTTTCTAAAATCTCTGTATTATCAAGCGAAAACATGACAACTAGCCCTGGGTGCCCGGGCCCTGAGCAGATTTCTGGTGTTAAGTCCAGGCCCCTCTATCCTTTTTCCACCTGCCTGTCTTTGCCCTACCACACCCATTAAAGGGTAGCGATAAGGGCAAAGTCAGTGCAAAAATCTCGGCGCTTCCAAGGTTACTGATTCACCACGCTGGGCTGGGCTTGCCTGGCTGCCGATACATCACCTCAAGGTGGTACCAGAACAAACCCCACCTCTTTTCTTCCCCACTGCTTCCCAGGGGCCCACCCAGAGAGAAATGACCACAAGGTGCACTAAGGGGAAAAGAGTCTAGAGGCGGAGAGCTGACAATGTTACAGGTGGCAGGGACACTGATAAAGGAAAAGTAACAGGAAAGGGAGTCCAGACAAGCAAAGTCTTCAAAGGGAGGCTGTGTAGTTCGCTGGGCTAGCACGGCTCAGAAAGGGAGGAGACAGCCTGTGAACCCAGCTCCAGTTTGCAGCTGATTGGCCCAAGATGGGGGCTGTGTGTGTGAGGGGCAGGGCACTTGCTTTGCAATGATGAGTCATGAAACAGGGAGTTTCCACAATCCCTCCACCCTACCCCCCACCCAATCAGGAGCAAACTCAGCCTCTAGATCTTCCTGGGGATAGCACTGAAATTCTTTCTTTCCCCAGAAATACCAAATGTTGCAACATCATTTGAGGCTTAGTTGTTTTGGTCCATGTGTGATTTCTGGCAGAGGGAGACATCTGATTGCTTGTCCTGGCCCTGGAGAACCCACTTTTCCTCTCCAAACGTGCTTCTCTTGCTTAAATCTGGGAGGACCCTGTGCTAGCTGACTATGGGTTACTGCCCAAGGGACAGGCCAGCAGGTCCAGTGACCTGATCAGTGCTGCTGCCACAGCTGAGACTGTCCCCACACCGTCCAGGTCCTCCGTGCCAGGGTTGTCTGGTTGGGTTTCGGAGTGCTCAGCCCAAACAAGGAAGTTGCCACAAGGTATGGCTGTTATGGGAATAAAATATGGTAATATCGCATAGCAGGCAAACACTATAGCCTGGCTGGAGGCAGGGCTGGGTTTCACGACTCTCTCTGATTAGTACTCTCATTTCCAGAAGGCTGACTCATACCAACACACATCCTCCAGGCTAACAATACCACAACCTGTCTCTGTAGGCATCTCGCAGCTTCTCTACAAGACCACTCACATGACTGCCTCGTGGACATTCAGGTCCTAGGATCACCTCT